TATTTAAGCAGTGCGGTATTGGCCTGATTTAGCAAAATGAAAATTTTGAGCATCAGCTTTTGCCACGGCTCGATCACAGGAATGTGGATTTTATCTATCAATTCGGGTATCCCTACGAAAGATTACTATTACATGCATGAAGGACACCCATACCCTATTTCCCTTTCTGTAACCCAGACAATATGTGTAGGTACACAATTTCATGATAATCGGTTGAGGAGTTAAGGCTTGAAAGCTACTTTCACTTTTATAATATTAGCTAACATAGAGAAATATATTTTATGGTATAGGGAGGGCAAGCGAGCAGAACTTATTACATGGCAAGCGAAAAGGATGTGTTGCCACCTTCTGAATGCTTCTCATGAATTGGGGGAGGAGGGGGGGGGGGGGTGCATGTTGGGCTCCGGTAACCTCACACACTCACCCATACGGTGAAAAGTCACGAAACAATTGTTTAACATTGGTTTTCTGGCATGGCTGTCCACAGCATACATCAATTATAGAAGCTAAAATAAAACAATTTCAAATAGAATTGAAATAAATATTTAATAATAACAACAGCCGATAATGCAAGACTCAATACAAGTAGAGTATCCGATATATATTTACAATTTACATATATTCTTACAATATTTTGATATTTAGGCACGACACGACACACCAATGAACCACTAATAATTATTCCCTTTGAAAAATATTAAAACCTTCACATTGAACCATTATTCATTAATTTGCCCGTACGTTTTCACAAATTTCGAAAGTTGCTTGGACGCAATAGCCGCTAAGCAAATGATAGATTACTCATTGTAGCTACATACAAGTCAGTGAGATTTCTATTGAGCGTGATTGCCGCAGATAAAATATACACTTCATATCTTTTGAATTGTCTGTCAAAAGCATTCTATTTAATATAGGCTACGAAGTAATAATAATATTGGTATAACAAAGACAGCTTGCCTATATTTGTAAAAAGGAGATGTTTTAAATAGCACTAAATGGAAGATATACCTTCCCATGTAATTTTTATTATTTCTAATCGGTTTATAAATGACGGTGTACTGAGATAAAAAATATAAAACGATACTACTGAATTTGAGAACCTCATCCTTTGTTTGAAGTCGGTTAAAATAAAAGCGAATACTCTTCTTTCTGTCTTAGAAGCCCCTAGGGACAATCGTACAAAACCCCACTACAATAAGGTTAAATATACTAAATCTATATTTAATCACAGAGGGACATAGTAATTTACGTTAAGAGGAGGATAAGACATAGTGATAACAGACATACGAGTAGAGTAGATATAATATAATGTATTGGTTGAGGTACAAGAAGGACCATTAAATATTAATGTTAAGCGAGATGATGGAAGAATGATTAGGGAGGACGAAAAATGACGAATGAAAACAATTTCTTTAATCAGTATTGCCGGATTTAGAATGTTTGCTGTTACCTATAAGTTAGTTAAAAGGGTATTTACTCGAGGAACTAGTTAAAAAGTTAAATTCAAGTGAGCAACAACAGAATAAAACAGTGGTCCAAAGGCAAGTGATTTCACATGTTCGACATGCTCGAGTCGCTGGACCCGCATAGTCCTTTTCGCTAAGCAAAAAACCTGCGCAAGTGCTTCAACATGTGCAAGCTACTTGCATTGTATAGAAGCACCCTTATTTTGCAATCAAATTATGACTGTAAGCCGGTGTGTTAATGTTAAGATTTTTAGTTGGAATAACAACCGTAGCGTGGTATAAAAAGTAATTTTCCGGCTGTTGCAAAACATACATTTCCTTTTAAAAATTGAAGATTTTTTTTATGGATGGAAATAGAAAAAACTTCCCTACACGGATGACGTAGTGGTTTAAGCGGTCACCGCTTCCTACCGCGCTGAGTGCTGTGGGTTCGATGCCAACACTTTGTGTGATCCACAAATTGTTGTTCTGAGTTTGGGTGTTGTTTGTATCCGTTTCATGTATGTTTGTAAAGTCCTCCGCGACACAGGATATATTCTTGATGTCTTTAATAGTTATACATTAATCATTTAATCGTACTAAAGTTAGCTTGTTAGTCTATATTCGACCATTATTCATTCAATATTATAATTCGTTAAGTTAATGTTTTATTTTATTCGAAAGACCAGTATAATTTGAACTGTCATCGTATACGACTTTTCGTACATGACTGGGTCACGTATATACTGGATACCTTAGCCTTGGCTTTGTAGTCGTTGTCACATAGTTAAATTATAACAAAAACGTCTTTCCCATTTATTTTTATTGATGTTACTAACTCTTTAACAGCTACAAAAAAATCAGTTCACAAACAGGAAGAAATGGCTCCTAGCTTTTGATTTTTTAATATATATATATATTTCTATAAATATTAATCGAGAACTTATAAATAAAATGATTAAAGGTTATTGTTTTAACTAGAGGTATTAGCACATTTATCTTGATTTAGTCACGTTTCATTCATAGGTGTAAAATGTGTTAAATACGAAGTAGGAACAACAATAATTTAGTAAACAAATCAACAATATTACCTATTATAAACCGCCTTTTGTGAGTATCAAAAGACAAATATCCAAATCTGGCAAAACTAATCTAGAATGCCTCAAATAGAGATATTGACACATTTCCGCAAGTTTTAATTTTATAGGCAGGCCTTTAAAACAAAAAATAATAATGATAATTAAAAAACAATAAGTCGAAAAAAAATCATTCTCTTAAACTTTCCTACCAACTGTACCACGCACCCGCACAATAAATGATTACATCACTAACGGATAAATTGATAGTGGCCTATTGAGTATATATATATATATAGGCCTATAGTCCCAAGTGCGTTACGAAAATAGTGAAACATATCAAGTCTCGCGCTCTGACCATTCGGTTCCAAAATTTCGTAAGAAACGATAATTTCTTGAACCCTGATTGGTCAGGGGGAGGGGCTTGATCGATGCGTCACTATTTTCTTAACGCAAATGGCCTATAGAGTTAAGAGTGCGACACCAACTGACAGTTGTAACCTTGTTCATAGACTAAATAATTAATAGACCTGATTGACATTTTGCAATCACGTGATTGTAGTTATTATTTAAACCTGTTTCAATTACTGACATTGAATTTAATTATTTTTTAAGTATTAATATGTGCTTTTTACTTTTAAAACATCTCAATCACTTAGTCAGCATCCCTATAGGCAGAGGATTATATTTATTTTTTATTATGCTATATTCGTTTACAAAATCTTATATTGTATTTTAATACATACAAATTTCAATAATTAATGCCTTATTATTGCTTCGGTTTTATTCAACAGTATATTTTTGATGTTTAAATACTATCAGAATTTCAGTTACATTTCCTTTAAATTTAAGAATAATAACATTTACAGTACAAACTAATTTACATGTCAGCCGTTTGTTGATATTAAAATCGAGTGTACTGATAGCCGCTCCCCGGCCCCAAAAAAATGCTTTTCTAACAAGATATATTACTTTTACATTTAATCTATTGATTGATACAGCAAGAACAATAAAAGAACATTTAATTGATACGTCTATTAATTACGAAATCGTCATAGCGTAGTCGTATAAGCGGTCGCCACGCCGCTTTCTACCGCGTATTGTGGGTTCGATCCCCAATGGGACACCACTTTGTGTGATCCACAAAATGTTGTTCTGAGTCTGGGTGTTCTTTGTGTCCGTTTCAAAATATAAATTGATTGAAAATAATTAAAATGATGAAAAAAATCTAGTCTCATCTACATTTTCGATTTTTTGTTAAGAGTTCATAGATGGCGGCTAAACGATGACGAGTACTTTAAATTTAAATGGAGACAATTTTAGCTACACAAAAGAGCGGGACGGTCCTTGACACGAAATACCGCTTGGTCAATAATCACCGCAAAGCATTCCGTCGAAGAAAGAAACTGAATTACGACTCAGTTGGGCATAAACAACATATAAACTGATAACAGAAATAAACCTTAGAGACTAGAGTCCAATTATTTCCCCAGAAACTGGGAACTTGCCAAGAACTTAATTAGTCACAATTTCGTAATTAGCTTTTTACTGCATGTACGACGAGTGACTCGACTTCAGTGCGAAAAAAAAAACGGGTTAGATAATATGCACTGAGCAATTTTGGCGCATTAGATGTTGCTTAGCAAAGCATAGCATACATAAACAAGAAAAAGACGCCAAAATCTTTTTTAACGTCTATGGTAATAAAAATAATAATAGGGTACATTCCTAGGTTTAAAATAAATTATTTCGGCTGCATCATTCAATGTAACATCTTAAAGTAGAGCTTGAATTGTCCTCCATTATCAATTTAATCTTTTTATTGATTTGATATCTCTTGATATCTCGATATCAACATTTTAATATAAATGATTTGACAAGGTATGACGTAAAATACTTCATACAAAAATGTACCGCGTCTATCGTTTTGTCGTTTAAAAAAGATACTGATTGGACTTGACAGTCATCTACCTTATTTTAAATGTTTTTATTAATTAATAACATCCTCAAATCCCTTTATGAATCCTTTCAAACTCAAAACATAAACTTTAGGTATTTATATTTAAAACTGCCACAAAATATACACTAAGTCATTGGTGCTTAGGGTTTCAATCGAGTGTATTTTTGGGATTTCTTACAGCATTTGAATTATTCAACACAATTATCTTAATGTCTGTACCTACATCAACAATTTGACAACAATTTGAACATCTTGGATTTTTATCCAAACCATTTTATTCGTGTGTCACAAGAGTTTTAAGTGATAAATTGTTTTATAGGATATTTTTTTAATTAATTTGCAATTTAACAGCAAATTTCTTATCATTTTTGGATGAGAAAGACATCGACTACTCCTATCATTAACGGCTTCTTCTACTACAAGGCATTGCTATAATTATCTACCTTTCGTCAGAATATGAAACGGTACAAAAATCTTTACCCACAGATTAAAAATCAACAAACGGCTGAACAGAAGTAGTTATTGAATTTGTTCGTCGTTCCGACTCTTATCTTGTCCAGTATCCAAAATGGCTTCCGCACTGGGTATAACTATAACATCAGTAACGTGAGCTCGACCACGCTCACTGTCACCTTCAATGCCATTACTCTCATATTCTTCACTCAGTTTCCTCTCCATATATTTAACTATATTAATTTCTTCAACGTTTTTATCTAAATCTAAATGTTTGGCTATATCTACACCTTCTGCGATTTCTGATGAGCAAAAATCTGATATTTCAGAACATATCTTTTTGACATTTTCGTCTATATTAGTTGTTAGTTCGTCCTGGTTATTAGTCGATGTTCTGACAAGTTTAGTGTTCACTTCGATAGTCGAATTATCGCCTAAAGTGAACATTACTTTAGATGGACTTTGACGTTCTTCTGGATTGTTGATTCTGATGATCTCTGAGTCTGAGTTGTGAGATTTGAGGCTGTGAGGCAAGTCTGAGGAATCGACTTGCGTTAGCTTCATGTTGTATATGTTGGATTCGCTGCCCATTATCGATGTCGTCGAGTCCTCTAGAGTGGGCAGCTCCTGAAGACATACATATTTGTTAGTAATTATTTTACTAAACATTTGGAACCTTAGTTTGAACGGACGCAACTAAAAACACTTAGGATTACAACGGTTTTCTATACCATACATACCTATTCACTAAATACATATATACTATATGAATATACATGTATATGAAAATCAATGTTTGTTGTATGGAGTATCGTGGCTTATAAGTTTCCAAATAGATGTAAGTTCTATTCGACCAAAATTATCAAAATTCCTAAAGAAAGTATGTTAAACAGAAATTATTTAGCTTTATTTCTTTATTGTCAACTTTATGCACTTTTAAGTACATCGGCGCCATTAATGCCCAGGGCATTCTCTACCAGAGATACCAGGCTTTATAATGTTAATTCTACTAATAAATACTGTAACTTTTATGAGAATAAAAAATACTTGCTAGTTATCTAAAGAAAGTATATTGTGTACAATTTACTTTCTTTTGCCTTCTAAGCTCAAAACCTACTTATAATAAAAAAAAATAACAAACAAAAGAACTTACTCTGACAACAACAATCGTTTGTTGTTTTAAAAAAATAACAATAACACCAAAGGTTTTACGATATTTTATTTATATAATATAAAAAAAAAACGAATCTGTAGAAATTGTACAAAAATAATGATATAACAAAAAAAAAGAATAATTTTGATTACCAATTATTGCTTTTTACTACTTCTATAAAAATATTAACAGTACATGATTAAAAGAAAGAAAAATTACTGTTCTTTTACATTTTAAATTACATTTCTAATCACAAATTTCTTATACGCCTTTCATAGATCAAATCAAATCTTTATTTGCCAACCAAGTGTACATTAATGATCTTATAATAATAATTTGTACCACTTAGTAGCCTTTTCCATATGCCTTACATAGTCTTTACCGCCTATCTGTTACTCATATGAATATTAGGTTTGGCTTTAATCTTACCCACTTGTTTGCCTTTTGTTATGTTTTTGTCAAAATTATAATGTATGATAGTAGAATAATGAATTTGTAGCAATTGGGTACAGTAACGAATGTTAAACAAACAAAATCGGTAAACATTGTAACTGATTAAAATAAATTGAACGAGCCAAGATAGCTCACATATTTCCGAGTTACTGGTATGCTTTGCATATCCGTATCCATCCAATTAAGCTATATCCCTATGCTACCATAACCTCTCCTTATGTACCTTTCCTTTTAATATGATTATCAAATTCCCCATCTAATCTCTTAAGAGCCCGGTTGATGGTGGCAGGCTTGCCATTACGTTGTAAATCGTAGGTAATTATTTTATGCAAAATTTGCTTCTTTCACATAGCTCATTTCACAATTTTTCAATTCTGATAGCGATTAGCGCATTTAAATCAACAATCAAATGAAAATCTATTAGGTTTTTGTAGTACTATTGATTGTATTTACTATTTTTTACGTTTTATACGTATCAATGTGTCAATATAAGATTGACCGTGAAATCGTATAGAAGATGTTGACAGTAAAACAAAGTAAAAAATTGTTATCCAAGTACCTGGTCGTCGTGATAACTCCCGACGCTGCGAGAATGTCTGTGTCTTCTTAAATTCAAAGCGGATTGTAGAGATTGGCCGTCCACGGAGTCCTGTAAACACAATTTTTTTTGGAAGAACTTTTCACAATACTCCATGTGTCTCAAGATATAAGTTTTTTTTATAAACAAAACTTTGCTTAGAATTTCTACATATTTATATTACATTTATTATCTAATTCTATATAATTCCTGCATTAATAATTTGTATATACAGCCTTCATTTAAAAAAAAGGACAGATATTAAAAGTCCCCCAACAGTACCCTACAATTACCACTCCCACATATGAAACAAACACACACAACCAAAAGCTAACGTATAGTTGGTAGAGGCAGACAATAAGAAGCGCGGTTTAGAAACTAACTCAATTAATGTTAATTAAGTTAAATTGTTTTTAGTAAAATATTATATTATATTATGTTGGAATTTAGTATTAAATAGTTTTACATTTTAGGTAAAAATATGATTTTGTATCAAATGGTTCTTAACGTTTCTTTAATTTTATAACATAGGAGTGGTGAGTGGTACTTTTTCTTTAAAATTATTTAATGGAATGAAACTGGAAATATACTCAAACAAAACAAATTCCAAATCGGTTCAAAATTGACGGAGTACTGAGGTAACGAGCATTAAAAAAAAATACAACCGAATGGGAACTTAATCCTTTTTTACGAAAGTAAGAAACGATCAGAGCGTCTAGTACATCGTCGACAGCGATCGCGTTCGGCCCGCACTGAACTATTCGCAATTAATAAATAATACCAATCGCAATTAAAAAACCCGATCGCCACCGACGAGCAGGCGGGTCACCTGATGGTAAGCGGCTACGGCCGCCCATGACCGCCCGCAACTCAAGGAGTCACAAGCGCGTTGCTATGAAATAAACTCGCACTAGACCCCCTGATTATAAAACGTACCTTAAACCGATTAAATTGTCGATATTTGCAACGTTCGGACGCAACGAGGCTTCTTAACGATTGAGTACGGGGACACTGACTGTCGACCAGCCAACGGTAAGTGCCATACAATTTTGTAGTATCCGACCTAAAGAACAAGAAGCATTTTAGTTTGACAACACATTAGCACAACTTACCTATAATACTTGTATTACAACGTAAAAATATTTACATAAAATTATCAATATTAATATGGACGGTATCAACTCGTTTTTTTTAATTATCAGAATGGAGACTTTTATCTACACTACGTCACACACTCTGCTCATGAGCTACAGAATATCTGGAACAGAAGTTGCACTCACCTACTTAATTATTCAAATAGCGACTTTTACTGTGACACAATAAAGTGCAATTTAGGACAAGCACAGTGCAGAGTTGGCCTGGCCTCTGAATAAAAATACTGAAACCTTATACTACTGGTATATTTTTTTATAATTCTTATTCCATGCTATACATTTTCTAAAATATAAAATATATTTTGCAGTCAAATTGACAATATAAAGAAAACATACAGTATTATAATTTTAGTCACTGACATTTATCGGTTAAACGTGTCACAGGACAAAGAGAAAGAGAATGAATATTGTTGGCCTCAGAATGCTGCGCTTTTGCACATACTGCTCTGTTTTTGTTTGCTTCGTCTCTTGGTATATTAGTGACCTTGACTGCTAAATCGAAGTCATGGGTTCTATTGACACTCAGGACAAATATTGTGTAATGAGCATTACCAAGTTCTATGTCTGGGTGTAATTTATATATAATATGTATGTCTTTAAAAACGTAAAGTATGTTTATCAGTAGTATGGTTACCATACCATAGGCTGCGCCTAATTTGTGATCAGACATCAGTGTGTGAGATGTATCAAGATATTTTTATTTTCACATACTGCAGAGCATCTTTTACCTGTACATTGTAACTCTACTGACTATATAGATATAATAGTCAATATAACAATTGCTTTGATACACAATATTTTTAAGTTGTAAGAGAGCGTGACGTCACAAAATTATAATTAGAAAATACTTACGGATATAAAGCATAATATATAACATCAATACAGTTTACATTGAACACTTATAGGTTAAGTTCACGAAATAAGGCCGGGTCAAAGTTCTGTGTCGATCACGGTTGAATTATTGACACTTTCATATCTAGCTAGCGTAACTTTGTGGTCGCATTGATGAAAAAAGAGGAACCAAACTGACGTGAAAAATTGAATAAACAATCTTTGAAGCGGGTTATATGTGTCTTAATTGAAACTTAACATTTTTATACATAATTTTATTACTGGAATCTTTTTTAATATAATTTATTTTTATTGAAAACACACCTACATCAGGATACTTTATTTTTATCATTTTGTTTCTACTGATCCATTTTTAGAATAGTATTTATTTTTCGGCTACATATCTTTTTTAATTTATTTTTTATCGGTATTTGTAACACTGTATAATAACCGTACTGTTTCAAATAACACCGCCATATAACTGCCAATTTATAAATTGCAACTTTCTAGACTAAGTAACTTACATAAATTACTCCGTCACACACCATTGAGAGTAACATGGATTTCGGTAAATTCGTACCGAAGATTACACGAAACAGACAGGCAGACAAAAAATTAAAAAATCAACACATTTTATACACAGCACACACACGTCAGTCAGTTTTATATCTTTGTATAAATATATATGCACTTACATATTAACAGGAGTTGTGAGCAATCTCTGTAGGTTGGCAAGTGTGGGTCGTATGTCTGACAAAGGCAAGCCTCGACCGACTATCAGCTGTGCTATGCATTTGTTCAGTAAGAATAGCGCATAGCGAAATAGTGTAGTGTCACCGCCGCGAGGAAACAATGGGATACTGGAAAAAAAAGGAGAAAGTTCTTATTCTTCTTTTCAAAGACAAATCCATGACTAGGAAACAGTAATAAAATATATCATGTGTCGACGGAGACTTTACAAACATACATGTAACGGACACAAAGAACACCTAGGCCCGTATTTTAAAAGGTGTCTCAGTCGTGAATCTAGTCTTAAAACTAATTTTAAGTAGAGATTTTATTATTGAACGTCACTTAAAACGAGATTCACCGATCCATACTCAAGTGAGTGATAGCTTATTTTAGAACGATGTTTATGTCGAAATCATTACTCAGGTATAGATTTTGACAGCTGTGATCTTTGTTTACGTGAGACAAGCTGAAGCTAGTCTCAAGCGGTGATTTCTAGGGCGTTTAGTTGAAATGAATGTGTTTTACGATGATTTCTTTTTGAATAATTACGAAAGATTTACTTTACTTTATTTACGAAAGAATTACTTGGCAGGTAAATGAAAGTGAAATTGATGATAGTATCATCAATTTCACTTTCATTTACCTTAATTGATATGAAATTCACCAAAATTCACATTTTACACACACAATACCAGTTTAAATTACCACAACCTTTTGGTTTATGTTAAAAGTATAGTAATTTAAATTTTAGAAATATCAAATAAAAACATCGTTTGACATTTCAACATGACAAGTGTTGATAAATAACTTGAACCTTCCGTTATAGCCTATTCATACAGCTAGTCATTTTTATTTTAATATTTATTATACTTAATTTTGAACGAAGAACAACCTTGTTAATATGTTAACATTGCTACACTAGGCAATAGTATATCATATACAAATTCACAGAAATTATTTTTGTAAAAGAAAATTATTTTTTAAATAATTAGCTGCGTAATGTGGAATAATAGTGTCAATCACGCGGAAACGTAATTGAGAACAGACTGTAAGTTCAAATCAATACTTGAAACTAGTTTCAACTGAGTAAAACTTAAAACGCGTTCTGTAATAAGATCGATACTTAAGATTTGATCTGCACTTAAAACTAGTTTCAGGCAATCAGAGTTCAACCGACACTTGAGACGTCTTTTAAAATACGGGCCCTAGACTCAGAACAACAATCTGTGGATTACACAAGGTACTGTCCCACGTGGGGATCGAACCCACAACACTAAGCGAAGTAGAAAGCGGCGAAGTGACCGCTTTAATCACTACGCCATTCTTGCAGTTAATCAACAGGTATCTTAAGAAGCTACCTTAAGGAACAAATTTTTGTTATTTTATTTAGATAAAATAACAAAAATTTGGTCCTTAAGGTAGAGCTTCTCTCGGGCTTCCACTCGAGTTTGCTTAGATTTAGATCTAAGCAAACTCGAGTGGAAGCTGCGAGTCACTCCCAACACAAGTATCGAAAGATTTTTTACTTGGAAGACTTAGCCACAAGACTGTAACTGTGATTTAGAAATAAATGTAATTTTTCTTTCTTTTCTTTAGTTTGGGCTCAGACGGCCGTGTTTAATATTATTTTTCTAAACGCCTAAAGGCCTAAAATTATATTCATTACTGGTAATTACTTTAGTATAAACTCACTTAGGATCAGGTAAATCTGGAGTGGTATCAAGTATCTTGCTAGCAGATCCCAACAAGGTGACCTTATATCTGAGCGGTTGGTTGAGCAGGGTTGCCACTAGACACGTGGCCTGCGCCACGAACCCCGCGGCCACGGAGTCACTGATGGCGTTCGGGCGGAGGTTCTCGTCCCCGCACACCGCTAGCGGGACACCGCAAATTGTCCATGTCGTTGCGTCTTTCTATTAGAAAAAATGGTGGAAGTCAAGCGACTACGTCTATTGCAAGTATATACACGACATGTGAGTTAAAAAATAGAGAAAGAATAAAAAAAGTAATTCACTAATGATTTTAGGAGTTTCAAATTGCGCAATACTTATAGATTTGAAACGTGAAGTTCTTGTGCATTATTTATTTATAACTCAAAGTCCTAATGGCCTTTTACTAGATGATAGGCGTCATTCCCGCAGTAGACACATGAGGTGCCGAAGTACGCAGGATGATCTCTGACGGACTCCGTCGGGCTGACACAGGTCTGATTCCCGGATCCCTCCTATTACAGGCGCAGAGTGGCACACCGTTTGGTTTTAGTCTATCCGATTCCGACCCCCCTCCCCTCCTCAAACCCCGGTGGGGTGATAGCCCGAGAGGGTTTCCACACGTAATTCAACAACATCATTAAGATACAGAGTGACAAAACATTATTGCGAAATAGATAATCAAGCTTTGCACCTACCTGGTCAATGTAAAATATCTGGTGCAGTTGAGTCAGCAGTTCACACCGCTGGGCACAAAGTGCGTGATGTGAGTTAGCTGCTAGTTCGCGCACTGCTATCATACACTGTCGCGTCTCCTTAACGTTCTCACTGCGACGGGACAACGAGTGGTAGTTTTGCATCAACTCAGTGCCTGAAGTAGGAAATTTGAAATAACTTTATTTCTTTCTATTTTAATACTTATTGCTGTCATCATCATCATTTCAGCTAAAATATGTCCATTGCTGGACATGGGCGTCCCCGAGGTTCTCCACAACAACCGGTCCTGTGCTGCCCGCTTCGAACGGTTTATTGCTGTATTGTATTTTTTAGCGTTACTATAATTTTTGTCCAAAATTAAATTTGCATAAATTACTCCTTACAAAATTAGTTCTCTGTCAGTATAAATCTGTACACCCATTCCTGAGATTAGAAGAAAGAAACAGATAGTGTGCCAGATACAATATTTTTAAGTTTTTGGTTAGGTACCCTTTTAAAATTTCACATACATCTGATAAAAGCTGATGATGTTGATGATAAAAAGCTGATGATGTTGATGACAATAAGCTGATGATGATATTAAAAGCAGACACTACAATTTTATTGTTATATTACTGTAATCCTCAAATAAATGACGGCAAATATGTTTATCAGTAGTCTGGGGTCCTAGTGTGAGTGTATTTCACATCATTTCATTTTCACGGCGACCGATTGGTCCACATTAATTTATTCCTCAATCGCAACGCCGAACGTGGTCACCGCGACGATTAAGTAGGTGAGAAACTCACACTAGGCTCCCTGATTACCATACAGGCTCTGCCTAGCTTGTAATTATTATTATTAAATATAAAAACATGTCCTTACACTCACCCACGTCCTGATTCTCTTCGAACAATTTTGTACGTCTCTCTTTTAACTTCCTGATGCTTGCCAATTTAGCGTCTCTCTCATCGGACAATATGATGCGTTTGAACCTTAATATTTCTAGTTGTTTTGTCAGCCTTACATGTTCTGCTCTTTGAAATGGAGACGGTTTTGACTGTAAATAAGATACAGTTTCTTTTAAAAATAAAATAGTGAAGAGAATGTAGTGTTATTGAACATTTTTGTGCAGAAACGTTTTAATCAATAAATAGGTCAAATAATAATGACCATTAACAGTCCGAAATTATGTACCTGTATTATGATGAAAAAAAAAACAATTTTGTGCATAATTCGATACAAGTTGTCCACTGTCCAATAAATATCTGAGCCAACATAAAATCTTATTTTTTAACTTATTTTTTAAATCAATCTTTTTTGTAAAAATAAGACAACATTTAAATACTAATTGAAAGAGATAATCACGAAACTAAAAAGAATTTATTGTTGGACCTTGCCAAAGAATAAGTACACATACGTGTAGTAAGAAATCTACTCCTTTGCAGCAAATCGAGTAAAAAACATAACAAGTGCATTTCTTTGTTTTATTTTTTTATGGAAGAGGGGGCAAACGAGCAGACGGGACACCTAATGGAAAGCGACTACCGCCGCTCATGAACGCCTACAGCTCAGTAGTCACAAACGCGTTGCCCGCCTTTAAGGAAGGTATGCTCTTTTCTGGAGGTTTTTTTAACTAGTCCTTTTATCAAAAATAATTTCTTATAAAATTTGACAATAGACGACACAAAGCAAAACTATAGCTTGTTTGTTTCAGATACAAAATAACTTCAATTTTGCAAACCTTATAAGATAAGAGATCATTCAATTTGGAGAACGTCAGCCTTGACCCATTGGACACGATAGGCTTATCCTCTTTTATTTTCCCGTTCTTCGCTCTCAAGTCCACTTGTGACGTCGATTTATCCTTACTTAAACTATCATCGTCTGGTGAAAACAGATTTCTTTGAGATCTACTCTTAAATTTCAACCTAACATCACATAAATCATCATGCTGATTCAAATCTTCGTTCGTCAAAGCAGATTTGTTGTAAATTCTCTCTTTTATCTCTTGAACAGCTTCCTGCCTCTTTTTAATTGAGTATTGTAACAAATGAAGTTGCTGTAGCTTTGTAGCATTATAACTAGGCCTTATCTCGGATTTTAAGAAACTTAGTGCCATGTATCTGTACTTCGGCACACCGTCGGCTTCACTCCTTAAGTCATAACTCTCAGCTGTTTCGCTAAGATCTATTTTACTCGATAAATCTTCTTGTGATGTGTTTTGGGAAAAAATACCACCTGCGAATTCTTTAACGTCTAAATTTTCTGGTGAGTGTTCATAAATATAATTAGGATCACTCTTAGATTCTTCTGTATTTTCTTCTCTCCGCCTGTAACCTCTTTGACTCTGGCTAATATTTAAACTATTAGATGTTTTCAACGTCGGAAAATACTGCTGAAAACCTCTTTCAACAGGGCTATGACTTTTAGAATATTCTTTTTCGAACTTCTTAGTGTATTTACTTGGAGAAATTGATCGTGATTCTTTGACTAATTTATGATTTAGTATATGCTTAGGTTCTAAGGTAATTTTTGATAAATTGGTTCTTCCTGAGGAGTCAGAAGACAAAGAACCATGTTCTATTTCATTTTCGGGAGGTATAACATCTAGTTTAAGACTTTTATATGAGCAGAAATAGCCACCATGCATTTGAAAAACTAAAGTATTGCTTTTGAAACAATCCGACGTGAAATTGGAAGCAAGATTAGCCCCAATATATCTGAGACCGCTGAAGTACACTCCCCATGTTTGAATTATGGTATCCTGTAGTTGTTTGGTGGTTTCGTCACTTGAATGTAACACATGACACCATATTCGGATAACAACATTCGCTGACGACACTCGGTGAGTAGTCTCTGTAACGAAAATACATAGTGAGTCATGGATGACGCAATTTAATTTCCCAGCTGCTGCGGGATGATAAGGACTAGAACTGTTTATATGATCAGAAGTTGTATTGCCCTTATCGGTGTGCTCGTAAAATTTACTGATAATATACTTGTGTCGGACAAATATCTAAGTGCAAAAAGGTAAAAAGTATCCAGTAATAGTAGGGAGCATTGTAGTTTGCAGTGTATTCGAGGTCGATTTTAAAATTCTCTTTGAGTTAGGTAGGTATATATCCCATGTCAAGACATGACTGCATATTAATAAATGTATAATTTTAAAGAACTGAGTTCACATTACCACATAAGGAATTGGATTGATGACAATCTGTTGGAATAGTCGAAAGTGATCAAATGTGCCTTAACTAGTTTCCTAGTAACCCTTAAAGATTTTTGTAATTCATTAAATTACAATGGAACGAAAACAGACAAAGTTAATAAAGTTGTGTTAAGAAATTATTTATATCTATCAATAAATAAATAGAGGAAAACCACAAAACATATCCTCGTCATTAACTACACACCGTATCGTTTCTTTAAGTATTTTTGTTATTAAATTGTGATTAAATATCAATCTTATATTGTTTTAGACTTTATTTCGAGTGCTCTTTATACTAAACTTACTAACTAGTGCTCAAAGATGGGAGTAATGTTTACTAGTTGTAAGATCTGATTTTAGCCTGCCTTTATTTACAAAGGTTTCCTTGTTAAATATAAACATATAGCCGTGTAGTGACGGATTAAGAGTACGGAGTATCACATCCCCTATTCATCCCGTTGGTGTAAAAGCCGACTAAGGGGCAAACTACGCTACTTTATCACTATGGATTTAACTCGTGAAAAGTTTCGTGCTATGCTTTATTACGATTTTCGGCGAGGGTTAACTCAAAAACAGTGCATCGATCAACTCATTTCGAACTTTGGGGACGAAGCACCATCAAAACACTGTGTATCACTGGTTTAGTGAGTTTAGTCGAGGGCGGTTTGTACTCACGGACGAATTTAAAGAAGGTCGCCCTAAATCGGTTGTTTTACCTCAAAATATTGATGCTGTGCGGGGACTAATAATGCAAGATTGTCATGTTACATATCGCAAGATAGAGGCGTCTCTGGAAATAAGATAAAATATTACACGAAAATTTAGCTGTAAAAAAAATTGTTCATGTTGGATTCCGCACAAGTTGAGAATTGACCATAAACGGGCTCGTGTCGATTGGTGTAGAAAAATGTTAATACCGTCACAATCAACGGTTTGGGTGTTACAAGATGAGCCGAACCTTACAAAAGTCATTCGTTTCAAGTCACTGAAGCAAATAGTCGCTTGTTTTGTTTTTATATAAATGGGCATGTAGCTACAGTGGCACTAGAGGATCGTAAAACGGTTAATTCTGAATGGATGACCATTTGTTTGCCAGAAGTCTGAAGAAATAAGAAAGAATAACCGACAACGCAGAATCCTTCTTCATCATGACAATGCTAGCTGCCACACCGACCGACCGAGACAACTTAGTATTTGGAAGAATAAAAGATCAAATCATCATTCGCCGTACAGCCCTAACTTAGCCCTCAAAAACTGCTATTTATTCCCAACCGTGAAGAAGAAATTACGTGGTCAACGTTTTTCGAGCCATGAAGAAGCTGTTGATTCGTTCAAAATGCACGTTTTGGAGATGCCACAAACAGAATGGATAAAGTGCTACGAAAATTAGGTCCGACGTATGCAAAAGTGCATCGATCATTACGGCGAATATTTTGAAAAGCAATAAAACTATAATGCTATATGTTTGTTTCACTTTGTTATTCCGAATACATAAATAGCAGGCCTCGTAATGTATAGCAGTCCTAATTGCCTAATTTTAACCTCTTAAAAATATAACAAAATCTCTTAACAATTTAGAAAGGGTTGGCCCCTTATTATATGAGTGGGTTTAATGTAATAGTCGGTACAATGTAAGCGTTAGATACCCCTCTGCTTACTCCGTGCAGGATATAGGCGTGAGTTTATTAACAAGAATAGATAAAAGTAAGTTTACACTTCGCGGTAAAATAAGAATAAAAAAGAATTTACCAGTTAGAAATATTTTAAACTAAGTAAATATGAAGATGTTTTAATTCAATGCCAAATGAAAGTGATTCGCGGAATCTTTTTAAAAAGTGAATAGGTTTTTTCCTCGATTAAAATTAAACACTTATCTTGAGCTCTCACCTATGTCTCAAATATGTGTAGGTATAATAATAATGATAACTTCACACATCTCACACACGGCAGTCTGGTCCCAAACTAGGCAGAGCCTTTTTAATGACAAACAAATTTTTGAACGCCTCTGTAAAGCTAGATGGTCATCCTGTTTCAAACAAATCATATGGGAAGTTTCTCCTATCATATGCTTATAAGTTTTTTGAATGGTATAATGGGACAACTACGCAGGACGACAGCACTGCTAAGAGTAGGAAAACTTGAAACAAACCCTATACCAACCCGTTTGGCCAGTGTGGTATAGTAGGCCAAAACCTCCTTTCTAAGGAGAGGCCTATGTCCAACAGTGGACTGTTATAGGCTGTCAGTGGTGGTGGTGGTGGTAATGAGACAAACGAGCACACGGTTCACCTGAAGCGCCGAATGCAAGTTTATTTCACATCGGCTCGGCGAGCGTGTATAACGTTGCGATTGATAGAGATTTTAGGCGATTTAATTTCGGACCAATTGTAGCGCCGAACGCGGTCACCGTGAAGTTCGAGTAGAAGTGAAATAAACTCGCACTTGGCCCTCTGATGGTTAGTGACTACAGCCGCTCATGAACACCTGCACCTCAAGAGACACAGAATGCGTTGATGATCTTTGAATCTCCCCCCCACACACACATAATCAGGAGGGGGGGGGGAGAATGGGCTTCGGTAACCTCACTCACTCGGCGGCAAGCAACGACAAAAGAGACTTGATTAGAAATAAGAGTACTTCGTTCTATTCAAAGCAGTATTATCGGGAGTAGTTGACATTGATTTTTGTCTAAGTATCACGGTTAACACTACTAGTAATAAACAAACAATCCGTCTATTAACTAGGTGCATGATAACGATTGACACACATTCAGATAGACACAACAGGGAACCCGAGTGTTTGGGTGTCAATGACGCTGATAAAAGGAATTATCATGTACAGTACAATCCACGGATTCAAACATCACAAATGCTAGTTATGTAGGTATCTAATGTACTTATAGAGCAATTGGGTCAGACGGTGGCCTGTGTTGCTCTATGAATGTACTAGTTGAGCTTCTGCCGTGTGCGTGATTATGATTTTTGAACGGAATACTAAAGAACCCTAAGCTACTCCTAACTTATTGCTAATGATAGTCTCAAATCGGGACACCCGGCGATTAGGCAGGTTTTTTTTTTTTTATGGAACTGGGGGCAAAAGAGTAGACGGGTCACTTGATGGAAAGCGACTACCGCCGCTCATGAACGTCTGCAACTCAGGAGTCATAAACGCGTTGCCGGCCTTTTAGGAAGGGGTACGCTCTTTTCTTGAAGTTAAAGGTCTGTTTTCTTTTTTATATGAATATCTTGTATCTATTGCTGGACTGTTGGTATAGTGGTTAGTCACATTTTGCTAGGCTATCCCTTTAGTCCCGTATACAAAAATAAACCTTTCTTTTAGTAGGAGACAATAGTAGAGTGTAAATCAACTCAAAACATCTTTAGTTCATTTTATTTTATTGTTTAAAATCGTCTTTTATGTAGACTCTAAAGTCATAGATAGCAATAGAATAGCAACAATATCTGGTTGATCAAATAGTTGGCAAAATAAATATAATGAAATAATACCTATCGAAAAGCTATTATATGCCTGTGCCGCTATACAACCGCCCGTTTCCAAGGGGTTATGAGAAGAAAGGGCAAACAAACTCACGGCAATATCTCGAACAGGTCTGGGTTATCATCATCAACAGTCGTCTTTCATAGTCCATTACTGGACAGAAAGGTTGGTATAGGGTTTGTTTCAAGTTTTCCTTCTCTTTGCAGTGCAGTTGTCCTTCGTAGTTTGCCCCCTTAGTCGTCTCTAACGAGACCCACGGGATGAATAGGGGTGGTGACCCATCGTATTCTTAATCCATCACCACACCTACAGGTCACCCTCAGGTCGGGGTAGAATATCAATAACTCGAATTGGCTGTTAAAAGAACGTCCGAGCGCCTAACTCTATATATAATATTGCGTATACATGACTTTATTTTTTTTTATAGAATATCATTTTTAAGTTTTATCATACATTTGATATAAGTTATTACCTGAATCAATCTCCTTCCATTTAGGATGAGGCGAGGATATCCGTTCACTGGTGTAGAAAGGAGCAGACATAGTGGTGTGATGCAAGGTAATGTAGAAACTACATGGTAAAGTGCACCATTCAGGCGGCCTGATGTTGTAGCCGACAACCTAAAACAGAATTTACAAATTGTCATTCTTTAACATTCACATAATTTTACGCGTTAAAATTTCTTTAAACACTCATCTATATACACAAGAATGTTAAATTGGTTTATGTATGCTTCAAAAACTCGATGACTTCTACACTGATTGAACTCAAATATTGACACAATACACAACCCGTTTCAAAGATTATCGTTTTTATCTATTTTTGGCGCTTGTTTTGTTCCTCATCATACGACCACATTGCCACAGCGTAGCTTGGCAGGGCATGGCTAGTAACAATGTTCTTATTCATTAAAGACTAGCGTATATCCAACATGGGTGACTACGCTAAAAAAGGAACACATTTTGCACCTCAACTACTACATCTCTGAAACATTTTGATCCATTCTAAGGTTTTTTAGCAGAGATTGCCCTAAGCAATAAAGCTGCTTTTTGAACTTCAAATGTCTGAAATTTGTATGTACCATACCACTTGTGAAACTATGTACAAATAAAGTTTTCTATTTATGCTTTAGGGTTGATAACCATCTTTGCGTTATTGCCTTTCCAAGGCAATCAGTTTAGGGCACATCGGTGGGATGGTTACAAAGTTCACACAGTCTCAGACTTATACTTTCACCAAATACCTCAAAATGATATTATCACATTAGAATAAGAAGAAACACAAAACTGATTAAGTAAAAAAAATAAAACACATAAAAAAAAAACCACACATAATTTCAGAAAATTTCTAACAATTGAACTCCTGAGATATTCAAACAAGACATTGTTATTTTAAACTTCCACTGTATATTTGGATCATTGTTATTTCTTTTCCTATGTGAGAAAATTGTGTTCTATTCAAAGATCACCAACAATCAACTAAGTGAAATGCTCATTTCAAATGTGGGTTGAGGGTCAAATATGAAGTCATTCAACACACTGTGTCTTCTTCTAACATTTTTTTTTTACTTTATTCAAGACTGCAGTATTCTAAAATGGCTTAAATTATTTAAAATGCTATGTTTATTCCATAATTATGTAAAATCATCTACTTTTGATAAATTGTCGCAATATATTCATTTCTTATCAAAATTTCTATTAATATAATATAGGTATGGATTAAAGTTATTAACCTAATATCTGCATTTATATATTATCACCAGTTTTTATTATAAAAAGAAATAATTATGCATATATGAGACTTTCACAAGATTATCAAAATATTTGATATTTGTTCTGTCTGTCTGAATATGATAAACCTCAAAGAAAACTTTTTTAAAATGACAATTCAATTGCCCGGTCAATGTGAACTTGCAGATGTTCATTGGTCATTAGCAGCTTTTAATAGTTCACTGCTGGACATGACAATGACATGCTGTAGTCCGGCATAGTTTGCTCTCTTAGTTGGTTCTTAAGGGTGGTGACACTCAGTATTCTTAATCCACATGGTTCATGGGTGGCGGTAGTGGTTTACTATCAGGTGACCCACCTGCTTGTTTGCCCTCCTATCCAAAAAATCCATTCGTAGCAAGTATTTTAGCTCAGCTGGAATCGGTTAACAAAAATACTACTACTGTGCAACTGACAATTATAGAATTCTTATTAAAAAACAATTTGACACATTAGAGGTAGTTTCAAGTCAGCTCCTTTGTCATTATCATCATCAACCTATCGCAGTCCACTGCTCGACATAGGCCTCTGCCATTGCACTCCACCTTGATCGATTTTGTGGCTTTTTTCTTTGACAGCCATCTTGGGCAAATCGTCACTCCACATGGCCTATAGGCGTCCTACACTATGTTTGCCAAGAATCAGTCTCCACTCAAGAACTCACTCTCAGTTCCTTAGTCTTTTTAAACTACAGTCATTTCTGAATAGTTTAAGCAATAATTCTAATTTTTGTTTTTTTATCTATTGAAGAATATAATGATATAATAGTCAGTGTATAATACAAGCTATATTTTTCTTTTTGTCTTTAAACAACATAATGACACTACATTAACTTGTTAATCTTTACTCTGAATTATTGAGGTGTACACTACAGTAAAGTTTACTATGGTAATTATAGTTTAAATACGCTTTTAATAACTTTATAATTAATGCCAAGGCTACCTTGTTCGTTATAGCTAATACAAAAAAAAATATGTTGACAGATTACACATACACAAACAATTAGAGCGTAGGTGTTTGTTGATAAACCTCAAGTTCAATTCAATAACTTTGTTTTTATATAGGAATTACCTGTATCAAACTCCGTAATCTTAACTGTTGGGTAGCTAGAGGTGTCCACTCTCTACATCTCGGCCTCCCGAACATTATTCAACAAATTCTAAGCGATAAACAAAGTAATCTCGGCAGGTTCACTTCACAGCGCACGTAATCCATAAACCATCAAATTATCACATTTACATAAAACGGTTAAAAATTATCGGGGTTTATGAACAGGAAAATATTTAGGTGTAAGATAAATAAATAAAAATGTATTGTTCAGCTGACTACCCAAACCCAAATGTCAAATTAAAAATCCAGATACCCTTTCAACAATTCAAAATTCGACTACATCAAGTGACTAAACGTTTATAGTTATAATTTTGGCCTGCATTTTAGATAATGCTATAATTGTGACGTTTTATTTCTTTTATTACATTTTAATAAAGCATTCAATTATATATAAACCAATTTTAGTACATTGTTGAGTGAACCTTTTAAATACCACTACGCCATTTATTTTATAAACATTGTAACATTTGATAAAACGTTCCATTTCACTTTCGGTATACGTTTTATAAACGTTACAAGCAGGCATACTATGACGTTTTATTAAACGGTTCAATTATAGAGCAATTCAATATAAGTTCCTAAACTGAATCGCTTTACTTACCATGATATTATTATGGTTCACACTGTATATCGCGACCTATGAAACATAAATACGCGAACAAACTACCATAACTACTGTACCTCAAGATTTATTGTTTTAAAAGAAACAGTAAAGCCCTGACAAGGATTGCTGAATTAGACTTTCTGTTAAAAAACAATATATGACGCTAATCAAGATTCTTCTATACACCAACGATGTCACATGTGTTCGTCGTCACACACTCACACATGTTCATTGTCACAGGTGGCTTCAACGGAAATGGTCAAAAACGCGCGCGCGACCGCACGCCATGCTGCCATGCTGCCATGCACATTAGCTTAGAAACATTTTGGCGCCTTCGACGGAGCTACTGGTGGGATGTAACCATTTTAGACATTGGATAAAATCACAATAACATAATTTTAAAATCATTTCATCACACCTGTGACTCATCTACAACATCACTGCGACTAATTATTATTATAACGTTGCGCTAGACACGCGAAAGGAATAAATCTAAAAAAAAATGGTCGGTTTGATTGATTTTGATGGCATTCATCTTTGTCAGTTGTGAGATTGAGAGTTGATCGGAATTGAATTGAGACCAAACTTATATTACGAAAATTGGAGTTCTTGTTACCATAGCACAGGCGCTGTCTAGTTCAGACCGTAATGTGTGAGATATATGTATTGCAAAGAAAATAAAATTAATTCCCATTGTGTTTGGTTGACAAAGACAAGCTTGCCCATATTACTTAAGTCAAAAGTCAAAATTGTAATTAAAAAAATATGAATTTTTATTCAACTGATTAGATACAAAAGTCCTCAATCTTCCTGTCTTTAAATACTATAACTTTATCAGCCTCTTACCACCATGAAGCTCTGGTCGACTTATTCTACATAAACTTCTGCCGAGAGTAGGATAATTATCTGAAACTTGGAGAAGTGACTCATCCGACTCAAAGTTCTGGACAAATACAGATTTTATTTATTCTACAGCAAATACTACCAAAAGATTATGAAAACAAAACAAAACTATTGTTTTAAATCTGATTTACAATAGAAGGCATAACGCCATATATACAAGACTAACTGTAGCTGCATTAAACGTTTTCAATTGTACTTTCAATTAATTGTTGTTACGTTATTATTGATAACGTAGGTACTTCAAACCAATGTACTTATAAGTGTAGTATAGCTACTAGTTACATTAAATTTTTTCAATTATACTTTCAATTTGGTTTCGGGTCACGGTTTTTGGCAGCAACAATTATTTCCTACACCCTTTAGTCGATCTGGTAATTTTTAAATATGAAGTATTTTTTATTCTTGTCCATTTTGTATATATTACCGCTTTTTACTGAACAATATTTAGTAGTGGTAAGAAAATTCTTTGTTTATTTTCCAACTAAATACAATCGGACACATAAGATCAGACTAGGCAAGCTAGCCACCATCCAATTCGACTGCACGGATTTCGTAGTGGTTTAAGCGGTCGTCACTACGTTGAGTATTGTGGGTTGGATCCCCACATGGGACGACATTTTGTGTGATCCACCAATTGTCGTTCTGAGTCTGGGTGTTTTTTGTGTCCGTTTCATGTATGTGTGTAAAGTCCCCCACCACACAGGATACATTCCTAGTGCGGGAGTTGTCTGGTCAAACTTTAAATACAAAAAAATCTTGACAAACTCCAAATCAACCCAATCTGGCCAGGGTGGTACAGTGAACCAAAACCTCCTTTCTAAGGCCTAGCTCCAGCATAGGACATTTAAAGGCTGATAAAATGATGATAAATGAATGTCCCCCAGAAATGATTAGCTGGTCACTAGATCGTTCTCAATGTTGTGGCGCCGGACGCTGTTAATTCCATATTGAAAATTATCTATGTATTTTAATTTTCGTAATTGTTGAATACAGTTAAAACCTGATAAACGTGAAGAAAAGAGTCATGAAGTTCTACAGATGGATCCTGATGAAAAACTATCTAGCAGTGCTCAGACAAACGGATCGAAAAACAATAAAAGCAAATCAACAGGAAGTAAGGTAGCTCTACAATCATCAGAAGAAAAAGGTAAAAATTAGGTCCTTACATATGAAATTGGCGTTTTGTCGTACTGACCACTTTGATCTGAAATATCTCCATTTTAAAATTAAGCTTCATTCCTACAGTTATCTATCTTAACTTTATAATAAACTAAATTTAAACAATAAAGTACATAACATAAGTTACATAATTTTATTCCATGTAAAAATTTGAAAAAAAAAAAAACAAACAAAGGGAAGTAATTGAATACAGACCTCCTCAATAAGCTAGACAGTCTTTTAATAACTGCATTTGATTTATATTCAATTTTCCCAAGTATGAGCATGTGTCTGCTTTACGTTCCTAATTCAAATGGTTAGGTACCTATTCGCCTGCGCGATAATTAGCGAGCGCTGATCTCTCTCTTTTAATTCCTCAACTCCGCATTCTCACCCACTTATTTTGATCCCTATTTGCCATTCCTGTCCGCCAATCACAACAGAAATCTTCGTTCAATAAATTATTTGCGTCGGCAGCAGACGGGTCAACTCATGGAAAGTGACCATCGCCGCCCATGAACGTTAAACTCAGGAGTCACAAACTCGTTGCCGGCCTTTTAGGAAGGAGTACGCTCTTTTCTTAAAAGGTTTGAAGGTCGTATTGGTCCGGAAATACCGCGGACGATAACCCATTCCACAGATTGGTTGTGCGGGGCAAAAAGTGTCTGGAAAAGCGCACATTAGTGGAGCGCCCACTGTCCAGGTGATGAGGGTGAAAATTTTGCCCGTGTGGAACGATGGCGGAAAGTTGCGGGTGGTATTAGTCCGAACAATTCAAGGGGAGAATGCAAAGTGAAGCCACATCTCTACGTAACACTAAGGGATTGAGCCGATCGGAGATGTTTGGGCTATCGACGGTTCGAGTCGGTCTTTATTGGATGCGGTCCAGAGGGAGAAGCTGGTACTGAGGTGCCCCTGCCTAGAGATGAGAACAGTATTCCATATGCGGCAGGACTTGCAACTTATAGAGTTGAAGGCGGTGGGCCGGAGTGAAATACTGCCTCGATCTGTTCAGCACACCGAGCTTCTTCGAGACCAATTTGACCGTACCCTCTAAGTGACCCTGACTCTGGTGTTCGCTCGATATGTCGATGCCTAGGATTCCGATACTGCCTGAGGCAGTTAGAAAAAAATTAAGTGCGAGTGATATAGACTATTTCTTCCGAGCTTTTTTCCCAAACCAGGTTGCGGTCGGCTTTAAGTCTACTACATATCTACAGCCTTTACTAGTCCACTGCTGGACAAAGGCCTCTCCTAAGAATAGAGGTTTTGGGCAGTAGGCCAAAACCTCCATTCTTAGGAGAGGCCTATACCACCCCGTCTGGCCAGCGAGGTATAGTAATACCTCGAGGGCCAGACGGGGTGGTATAGGGTTTTTGATTCAAGTTTTCCTTCTCCTTGCAGTGCTGTTGTCATGGGTAGTTTGCTCCGTTAGTCGGCTCTTACGACACCCACGGGATGAATAGGGGTGGCATATTCTTAATCCGTCACCACATAGAACTTCACTTCCGTGTGGTGAAGTCCACTACGATACGGCTGAACTTCGACATAAGGCCTCCACAACCCAAATACTAGGCGATGTCGAAGTTCTGTAGAAAGACTGTTGTCGGACTTTTTAGGGCTCCAACTATGACCTATGACGATTGCCACAGATGTTCGTATGCAGAGGCACGGAGGCTGCTCAACGTGTTAAGAAATGGTCACCCATATATAGACTGACTTGGCTAGGATTGCTTAACTTTGCAATTTTTTAACCTATTCGGATATCACTTAGCCACGTGATCGTCCATCACTATATAAGCCACCACCCATACTATAATAATTTTGTAAAATCCATTAATATTAAACATAACTTTTAAACTATCTTTTTTGTGTAGAAATACAGGAAGATACTGACACTGAAGATCGGAAAAAATTGAAGAATCCAGAAGAAATCCTAGAAGAAGATAAAGAGGAATCGGACCCAGGGTTGAAAGCTGATAACCAAGAAGGAATGGTATTTTTATTGCAAGTTCCCACTAAGTTTCGCGGAAAGATGCCGTTGATATTCAATAGCAAAGATAAATTGAGTCATTGGGTACGGATTTTTATATTATTATTTTATAACCTATATCTCATCAACAGCACTTACTAGTCCACTACTGGACATATGCCTCTTCTTAGTAAAACAGTAGGGCCTACTATACCACGCTGGCTAGACGGGTTATTATAGAGTTTGTGTCAAGTTTTCCTTCTTTTTCCTTTTTTTCTTTTTCTTTTTGCAGTGCTGTTGACCTGCGTAGTTTGCTCTTTTAGTCGGTTCTTACGACACCCATGGGAGGAAGAGAAGTGGTTACACTCCGTATTCTTAATCCGTCACAGTAAAGTTCATCTTAAGGTTGTCTGTAAGAGTTGCCGCTCATTGTACTGGTACTAAATTTTAATTTTCTAGATTGCTTAATTTTCTAATTTTGGTTGATCTATCTAAAGGGTGGGCCATTTAATAGTTTAAATTTAAAAATGCAATAAAACAAAAACGATTTGAAGTTTTGCCAAATTTATTTTTTGTTGTGAAGTACAATTATTCCGATTAGAAATGGAATATTATTTCATTCACATGGCTGCCGCGGCTGGCCTCACAGTACCCCATTTGATCGGGCCAAGTTTCGTGCACTTTTTCGAGTGTTTAGGGTCGTCGCAGAACGACCTCCGTCCTCCATAAGCGCAGGCCTGGGGGTGACAGGTGAGGCCATCTGTCACCCTAGCAGAAGCAGGCCGGGGTGGCGGCGAGCGCGTTGCGAAGCGCGCTCGCTTCCAGGGAGCACAGGGAACATGGGGTTCCCACACGGGGCGGGGGTCGTCTACTCGTCTGTAGATGACCCGAGGTATGTCGGGGCACCAGGGCCTTCCTTTCTAGGGTATACCTGGTTCCCCGGCTATTAGTACCCGGCGAAGGCGTGCGGTTTTAGTCGGTTCGAGTCCGACATGCCACCGACAGGTGGTATCCGAGGGGATTTCCGCACGGAAAAAAAAAAAAAAAAAAAAAAAAAAAGGGTCGTAGCATCACGAATGTTGGGCTTCAAATGCTCAATTGTCTCTGGTTTGTCAGCATAACACTTGTCTTTAACGGCGCCCCAGAGAAAATAGTCCAACGGTGTCAAATCGCAGCTTATTGGCGGCCAATTGACATCACCATTTCGGCTAATTAAACGGTCATCTAAAGTTTGACGCAATAAATCGATTGTGGCATGAGATGTGTGGCAAGTTGCACCATCTTATTGAAACCAAAATTTGTTCACATCAGTGCCATCAGGAGCGGGCACAAAAAAATCGGTTATCATGGTGCGATAGGTGTCTCAGGTGTCTCAAAGAAATATGCCCCAATGATGCCTCCGCTCCACAAGCCGCACCAAACAGGCACTAGTAATGGGTGCATTGGCTTCTCTAAGACGACGTGTGGGTTTTCTGAGCCCAAAATATGACAATTTTGCTTATTAACATTCCCACCAAGATGAAAATTAGCTTCATCCGAAAAGATGATTTTTTTGACAAAATCGACATCATCGTGCAGCTTCTCGTTGGCCCATCTAGCGAAGCGGAAACGTAGTTGATGGTCATGCGGCTTCAACTCTTGAACCAATTGAACTTTGTAAGGCGTCATACCGAGATCTTTTCGCAAAATTCGACGTAAACTGGTGCGTGAAATGTTCAATTCTTGAGAACGATGACGAGTTGATGTTGATGGATTCTCACGCACACTCTCAGCCACCGCTTCGATATTTTCAGGTGTACGCCTGTACGAGTACGCTCACGTGTCGGCGCATGAACATTGAAACCAGTTTTACTAACTATAGCAATAAACTTGCATATACCGGGCACTGTTGGTCCTTCTTTGCGACCAAATTTTGTACGACATTTTCGTGCAATTTCCGACCAATTGTCTTTGTTTTGGAAATAAATTTCCAATAAATCCCAACGTTGCTCAAGCGTAAATCGATTAATTTCGTTCAGCGGAGATAATATACTGAATTTTGTGACAGAATAGAATTTCATAAGTATTGTCAGATTTGAAATAACCGGTGGTTCAAATTTAAACCGATAGATGACCCACATTATATATCTCATTGTACGTATGTATGTATTTAATATAATTATGATGAGATAAACACACAAAAGTAATAATAATATTTATTATTAGAAGAAGTGGTTAACGGAAATAGCCGCAGGCGACAACTCAGAGATAAGTGGCACAAACCCACGTATCTACCAGCCCGATGAACATCCTGCTTTCAGTAGAGGCTTCAGAGGACAACATTACAAGTATAACCCTGAAGTAAGTATGTGTGAATTTTTTGGTTCTCTTTCAATCGTGGCAGTGACATGCTCTAGCAGTAAGTAAATTGATACCCTTATTACTCGCATAACTTATTACTCTTTATCTGATCAGTACAATATAAGAAACTGTCCTATCAGACCGGAATTGTATGTTAGACAAATCATCTGAAATGATTTTGCCTAGCAAAACCAATTTTCAATACGAATTACTAGCTTTTGCCAGCGATTCCATTGTACATCGTAGAGGATACAAGAAATCAAGATTATAGGTATATGTATAAAAAAAAGATACATACTAAAGAGTATTTACTGTGATTCTGAAAACGGTACTACCAAAAATAACGAAGTTTCACATAAATTTCCAACCCCCATTTTGCACCCTTGGGGTGAAATTTTTAAAAATCCTTTCTTAGAGTATTCCTATGTCATTTAAGTAACCTCCTTTCTAAGGAGAGGCCTATGTCCAGCAGTGGACTAGTATAGGCTGTTGTTGATGATGATGATGATTTAAGTAACATTAGTGCAAAATTAAATGCATATAGTTAATGCGGTTTCGGCTTTGCGTTGATCGATCAATCTGTTAGTTTCTTCTCTATAGAAATATATTGAAAAACAAGTGCTTGCAGGCTTTCAATAGATTATTGAAATAAAAGCAAATAATATACATTATTTCAACGATAGTAAACGGCTTTTCTTTTTTCTTGCAGTTGCTGAAGTTTATATCAATTGACGTACATATCGAGATCTAGAAAATAGACGCTTTGACGGCTTTGACGTAAGAAGTTGTTAGGTTTATGTAGAAAACTAAATACAAAAACATTGAATCTACCATTCGATAGCATCCCAAAAACATTCAAACTGTCGACGTCGTTTTAATGACTCTAAAATTTTCAGAAACTTCTAAATGTTTAAAAATAAAATGAGTTTAATATGTAAATAGAAATAGGATCGTGGGTAGACTGATAAATTGTATGTGAATGCTTCGTAAATTATAGTGGTCATTCCGTAAAGACCGTTAAAGACTTTATTAAAAAATTAAAGTTTTAAAAAACTAAAAAACACCTTTTCTAAAGCAAACCAAACTAAAAAATAGAAGATAAATTTGAAAAAAAGCGTGGGGTGTTTTTTTTATTGACAACAGGCACCCAACGCTTTTTTTCAAATTTATTTTCTGTTTGCGTGTTTTTTAGTTATACTATTATTATTTTTTTAATTAGTGTATTGTCATCGGTCCTCGATATATCTACAAAGTTTGAACGAATTCTGACCGTTTAAAGACAGTTAAAATCACGCTCAAAGAAGTCGGTTACAAACATACAAACCAACATACAAGTGAAGCTAACATAAAGCGTGTAAAAAGTAAAATTACAAACAAAATTGAAACAACACTTTCTACAAAATTAAATTGCCTATTTGTTATACCATGGTGCAACGTGTATAGTGTAGTAAGATAATATAAATTTGATTGATATAAAACATTGCGCACTATGTACACATTTTTGTATAATATTGTACTAATTTTTGTGTGCGTGTTTTTATGTTTTGTGACAATGTAAGACATACATATGTATATGACGACATTGATGTACGGTAAAACTCGAAGGATTTTGTGTTGCATCTCTATGTAGGTACATGATTAGCTAGAAGAACATTGGTTGAACTAATACTTTCATTATTTGTATTATGTACTATTTATGTAAATTCTGAAAATAAACGATATTATTTTTAATAATAATTTTTCTTTTTCTCAGCTGAAGGCTGGTTCTAACTGTATTTTATGTGAGGTGTGTGTTTTGGTTATGTAGATGGTGGTTGCTGTGTTGTTGTGCCTTTTCGTTTTCTTAGCTTTTTTATTATTATTATTAATTGAAAACAGAACTCACAACTTTAATGTTTAAAATTATTTAAGGTACCTTACTTAAGGCACAGGAATGTATAAAGTGATTCTCTCAAGATTTCCTTTCTTAAAATCGATTAATTTAAGTAATCTGTGCTAGATCAATATTATTTTTAAATCGAATATGGGGCAAACCAGCAGACGGGTCAACTGATGGAAAGCGACTACTGCCGCCCATGAACGCCTGCAACGCAGGAAAATGATAGAGTTGAAGAATACATTTCATCAGGAAAAAAAAACTATTCTGTGTGCGGGTGTAATTTATCTGTAATATGTATAATAGTAATCTGTTGTTACATTAAAAAAAAAAACAATGTGACACTTGAGTGTGGAATCTGTCATACTTATATGAACATTCGTTGATACAATCTGTGTTACACGCGGACGTCGCCTCCTAACGTCATAACAGTCAGCCGCGGCTGTTATGGCGGGTGGATGGAAAACCCGTCCCGTCCACCCGCGGCTACACTCAGGGCGGCATGAGGCGCTGGTAGATAAGAGTTTTTTCGTCTCTAGTTAATTAATTAACCGTTGATTCAAGAGTTTTTCTGCCACTTTTGAAATAGAAATAGGTCTGTAGTTATTGACACAGGCTCTGTCGCCACTCCTCTAGACAGGAATCACTTCTGGTAGTTTGAAGTCCTAGGGAAAAGCAACAGTGCTAATCATGAGATTGAAAATGTAAGTTGGAAGAGGAACTAAGATCTGATGGTATCGCTTTAGGAAAGCTCCGGAGATATTGTCCCGACCTTTTGTGTTAACCTTCTTTAGGCTCTGTATGATGCATCGCACCTCTTCTTCAGAGGTTAGAGATAGGGCTAATGAAAAAGTATGGGAGTCCACACACGATAATTCTGGTAAGATGGTTGCTTGGATTTTATCTGCTAGGTACCAATAGATGCAGAAAAGAATTTACATTATTAGCTGAGGATCTGTGGATGAAAATAGATCCAATGCAGGGTTGGGATTATTGTTGTAATTTGTGACCTTTCTTATTGTTTCCCATAAAGTTTTGTTGCTGGTCTTAGCTGCATAATTCTTTAGATTTTTCTTGTGAACGCATTTTAATTTTTAAACAATTTTTTTTTTGAGTATTGCGGTATTAGGAATTTTCCTTGTTTTTAAATGTAGTTTATCCCGGTTATTCATACACTTTAATAATCCACTTTGGGATTTGGATTTGGATTGGGCACAGAAATTATACGTGTATTAGATTAGTCAATGTTTTCCATCATTGATGTTTTGTCTGTTGTATATGATATTTTAATGTAATTATTACGCAATCGTGGTTAGTCACAAATGTTTCGGTTACGTAGCAAAAAGCCGACATAGTACTTTTTAGCATTATGTGTAGGTAATTGATGGGCAGGCTATGTAAGGCAAGGAGATCGAGGTAAATGGTGAGTTGGGCTCTTTATTAATTGGCAGTATGTCTATATTAATGTCTCCTACTATAATAATATTACGGGATTTTAGACTGGTGAGAAGTTTATTTAATGACTCGATAAAAGGTTGAATGTTTTTGTAGTCGTCGGTCCTTGTCTCTCCTGGGCGCCCTAAACTAAGTTTGCTTCGCTTCGCTTACTTACCGGTACGACCGTTTAGGGGTGTCACGTATATCAGTTGCACGCATTTGGTGCAACACAAGATTACTTGCAATATATTTATAATTTGATTAAACTATTATCTCTTTACTTTACTAATAAAATAATATAAGAGAACTTGAAGCCGTGACTTACCCGACTCGAAGTTGTGGCTAATTTTTTTACTGTTTTAAGAATTAGAACAATACATACTACAAGAAGATCATTGAAAAAATAATTATCTTCCTATCATAAATCAGGCTTCCTATTATAAATCAGATTTGATTTATAATAGGAAGCCCAACTCCCAAAAGATTCTCAAACTCCTGTTCAAATGTTTAAAAATATTTCATCATAGGAATTATTCATTGCAGTGTTTCGTTGATATTTCGTATTGATAACGTACTTCAAACATATTGTACAAGTGTAGCTACATTAAACATTTCAATTATACTTTCAATTAAGTTTAGTGTCACAGTTTTGGCAACAACAATTATTTCCTGCACCTCTTAGTCGATCTGGTAATTTTAAAACATGGAGTATTTTTTATTCTTCTCCATTTTGTACATATTACCGCTTTTTACTGAACAACATTTAATAGTGGTAAGAATATTCTTTGTTTCTTTTCCAACTAAATACAGTCAAAAGATCCGACTAGGAAGGCTAGCTAAAATTCAATTTTGTTAAGCAAGATTTCTTTGTAGACAAATAAGTACTTACGTAAGCAAAATAATCCAACAGACTTCACGGTTAGTTATTTCGACTAGCATCGATAGATTTTTCATTTTCTAGTGGTGACAAGAACTGCCAGACTAGACTAGAATGGAAAATTTTAATTCAACGTATGCAATTTTTTTTTTCATTCATGATTCGTTGTTAAAAATAAGATTTCATCGGCGCTATGAATGTTCTTAGGATAGACAACTTGGAACAAACCCTTTACCATCCTATCTGCCCAGGGTGATATCGTGACCAAAACGTCCTTTCTAAGGAGAGGCCTAGGTCCAACAGTGGACTTTTAAAGGTTGTTGATGATGAAGAATGAATGTCCGCCAGAACATTATTTGGTCACTGAACCGTTCTTAATGTTTAAGTGCTAGAGACCGTTCCTTCCTTATTGAAATTTATCTATGTATTCTAATTTACGTAATTATTGAAAACAGTTAAAACCTGGTAAACATGGGCAATGGAGTCATGAAATTCTACAGTTGGATCCTGACGCAAAACTTAATAGACCTACAAAAAGCAAATTAACAGGAATGAAGGTAGTGCTACAATCATCACAAGAAGGGGGTAAATTAATTAATACTTATTCTGTGTGTAGATGTAGAAAGTAGGTCAATCGAAATTCGAAAAAATAAAACGCGTTAGTCCAGGGAAGTTAAGGTGGGTGGTGTCAAATCCGCCAAGACGAGCTAAGCGAAGTGATTTACATGTATTTTATATTCATTATAATTTCATATAGCAGTTAAATATTTTAAATTTGGACAAACAACACTAAGTTTAGCGAAAGCAGAAATTCAAACATAAAAATTTTGTGTTTACCTATATTATTTTAGTCCAGGTAAAAATTAAAGAAATGAAAGGGAAGTGATTGCTGAATTTCTCGATATTTATTATTTTTCAAATGACCATAAGCTAAAAAGCATTAAAACATGTTACAAAATTTCCTAGTCGCAATTTTTATTTTAAGTCTTGAAAATACATATGTAGGTACGATTTTTTTACATTTGCTTAATTAGCTTGTTGTTAATAACATGTATTCGGACAAGATAAAAGTTTACATAAATAGATTTTGGTTACTTTAATTGCTTATATTTCAATAAAATTTAGACACCCAAGAGATGAGTGGGGTTAATGTTGCAAAGGACTGGATTCCTCGAGTCGTAATTCTCCCCGTCCGTGTAAATGTGACAATTTAATTGCTAGACTCATACACGAAGAGGACTTGAGTGCGACTTGCCGTGCAAAAAGGACTCCCACGCACAAAGAGACTCGTGCTCTCTTGTCACATTCAAGAGCTCGTAGAGAATTTAGCTCTGTAGTTTTGGACTCCTGTTGAAGCTTACTCGAAGCCTCGAGTTTTTTGCAACACTAAATGGGGGGTGATGACACTCCGTATTCTTAATCCGTTTGGTGGCCACACGGATTGAATGAAATGAAACATAAAATTTAAATTTGTAAAATCCATTAACGATATTACCACTTACCACTTTTGTTTGTAGAAATACAAGAAAATACTGACACCGAAGAACGTGAAGAACTGAAACAATTGAAGAATACAGAACAAGTTTCAAAAGAAAAAGATGAAGAATCGGATCCAGGATCAAAATCTGATAACCAAGATGGAATGGTATTTTTATTGCAAGCTCCCTCTAAGTTTCGCGAAAAGGTGCCGTTGAAATTCAATGATAATGATAAAAGGACTCATTGGGTACGGATTTTGCATTTAATAAGCTATGTCTATCTCTAAGTATATATTATAAAAAAAAGATAAAAAAAGCCTATAAGCTATATCTCAACAACACCATTTAGGTAGGTACTAGTCCACTACTGGACATAGGCCTCTCCTCAGAAATAAGGTTTTAGCCTACTATACCTACCACTCTGGCGAGACTCGTTAGTATATAGTTTGGCTCAAGTTTCCTCCTCTTTGTGCAGTGCTGTTTTCTTTCGTAATTTGCCCTTTTAGTAGGGTACTACGCCTTCCATGGGACGAATAGGGGTGGTAACATTCTGTATTCTTAATCCGTCACCACACGGATTAGTAATATACAGTAAAGTCCATCTTAAGGTTGTCTGAACGATATGACAAACTGCGATAAAACTTTCCATGTTTGGTGTTGACCAGGGGCGCAACAACCCCCAAAACGTTTTTTATGAGGACTAAAAAAAGATAATTAAAATACTTTATTGACGTATTTCATAGTATTGTAAGGCTTACTAAATAATGTGGTAATACGATAAACATATTACGATATACATTATTTTTAAGGTGAACAATATTTTAATTATTACAATTTATTTTAATTCACATTTTTAGTAAAATTTTATACATTTTATACATACATTTATACATTTTTACTAACACAGTCTTTCAAAAATTGATAACATTTATGAATTCTTGAGCTAAATCTACAATATCTACTCGTAATACATCTAATAATTGCTTATGAACGTGGCATATTACTAAATTACTTCATCTGCTTTCATTCATGCTACTTCGCAAGTATGTTTTCAGTCGACTTAACTGCGTTCAGCTTCTCAGGATAAAGCAGGGCACGTCATTAAAAGTCTAATGAGGCCGAGCTCTCTGGGCTGTATGGGGATAGCTGCTGGGGGTATAAGACATCCTGGGTTATGTGGGGGTAGGTGCTTGCCCGTCTGTTCCGCAGACTTCTCGTCGCATCATCTTCTGGGTTATGTGGGGATATTTGGACACCCTCCAAGGGGGTGTCCACAGGTGGTTCAGGAGGGTCTGGACACCCCCTGTCGCTGCGCCCATGATGTTGACCTATCTTAATGTGTGTATATATAATTATAACTTTGAACAGATAAATACACATTAGTAATAATAATATTTATTATTAGAGCAGGTTGTTATCGGCAATAGCCGCAGGTGATTACTCAGAGAGAAGTGGCAGGAACCCACGTATCTACCAGTCTGACGAATATCCTAATTTCAGTAGAAGATTCGTACCGCAATATCATTACTCTGAAGTAAGTATATGCTTTTTGCGGTAACACGTGCCTTTTAAACCCCACGATTAGGTTATGTTTTAGCATATATGGGCCGGCTTTACCGGATCGACACAACGGCCTCAAAAAAAAAATCGGTGTTGAGTAATTATTTCGTTGCTTTTAAACTAGTTAGGTTAACGAAGGCCCTACACCTCTGCCTACCTCTGTATAACTTTTATAAAATGTCTGAAGCGATGACCTGCGTCTATTCTTCTATTGAAGATGGTAAAGAAAAAAATCATGACCAGGCCTGACAGACGGCAAAAAATCTTCTTTCGACTATATTCTTTAGAGCATAATTTAGATAATATCACGTAGATTTCGCTGTGCTCTGAAGCACCTACAGAGCGTTGAATATATCTAATTACTATATTTGTTATCAGAGACCTGAAAACGTTATAGTTGCACCCGATCAGAAGGAGATTATACCAATACAGGTAAGTGTAATACTTCACCACTATCTTTTGCCATTTTACCAATTTACTGCAAATGGGTTTGGAATGGCTTCTTTCGTGCCATAATTCCTTAGGAAAAACTCTTAAGTAAAATTTTTAGTTAAACATTTTCTGCAGAGATTTTTCTTCTGTGTTTTTACAGTTAACACCCAATAATGACAATTAAGTACTTACATCATTAACTCCTAACGCAACATTTGCACTAACGTTTTTTGCCTTTTAAAGGATTTTTGATACTACTAATATTCAGGTCAGTTTTAGAACAGATTTGAGGCCGGCATAAAAAAAAAGCAAAATAACCTTACAGGCACCTTTGGAAATAGTGAAGCAAGTAGCTCAGCAGTCTGTGTTGGAGGAAGCGGCAAAACCAAAAGATGACGTAGTAGTCAGTAAGGCATTAAGAACTGGGGTATGTACTTTAGCAATTTTAATTATCTTAAAGTGAATTTCGGCAAAATTTATATGAACTGATGTTATCAAGTACGTGTTAATAATGTATTTTACAGCTTAATACCAGTTCAAACATTCCAAATCTGAATTTCTCTATAAAAAATTAAAAAAATATGTGAAGGGGGCTAGATCCCACAGTATCGGGAATCCTAGTGTGGAATCTAAAGATCAAACCCTGTATTTGTGTTTATTTTGAGACAGTAAAATAACATTTATAAAATTTAATTCTGTTTTGTAATAAATAATGTATAATGTTTAAAGGACTATTGGAACGCTGTCTGGGTAGAAGACGTGGATCCGAAATCCTCATTAAGGATGTCAAATCAGCATATCCTGGTAAGAACTTAGTACTTATCTTTAAAGAACTTTAAAATCATAGAAAGATTTTTAACTGGATTTTACCAGATTCCAGATGCGTTCCTTTAAGGACTTTAACTTCGCTTTACTCACAGGAAGCAAGTATTTATTAAACAGGACTTCCATTACAAAGCAGTAGGTAATCCTGTGGTGTTGACATAGAAGTCAGATAAAACTATCGTTTCTGATGATTCCATCTGTTTGATTACGAGCATATTTTTTTTATTCGGAGCGTTACTTATCAGAAAATTATGATTATTATATATAATGATTGACCATATCGGCAGGTCACTGATATAACGCCTAAATAAAAAAGGTTTATTAGTAATTCTAAGGATATATTTTAAATAGAAGTATATAAACGTGATTTATATTGCACTTAATCAAAAAATGAAGGAACAAACACCTATTGAATCGATGTCTTTTCTTATCGAACTGTTGTCGATTGTCAGGGACCGTGTTATCAGAGTTATATCGAGTCTTTTTTTTTCTTGTTTTATGGAAGAGGGGACAAACGAGCAGACGGGTGATGGAAAGTGACAACAGCCGAACATGAACGGCGGCAACTCAGAAGTTACAAGCGCGTTGCCGGCCATTCAGAAACGAGTACGCTCTTTCTTGAAAGTCGTATCGGTCCGGAAATACCGCAGACGATAACTTTCATTTTTAAAATAATCAACATTTATTTTTATTTCAATATTTTCTTTTATTTTATTTAATAATTTTTTAGGAATATTTTCTTTTATTTTTACAAGAACAAGTCATTTAACCTTATCACTTTCTATTTCATTACTACTCTGATTAAGATTTATAATTTATGGATGAATTAATAATTCTCAACATATATTTAGGAGAGTCGAAAAAGGCGCGTTAAAACCGGTGTAGATTCTGAGCACACGTCTTCAACGCGAAGTCTATTTTGATGTTTCTGTAAAATATGATTTTTAATTCTATTTTATTCACATTAAATTATATTTTATTTTGCAGGGTACAATAAAAGCCAAAATCAGACCTGGTAGCCAGTTTTATGATCTCGTTTCTAGTATGACGAAAATTTCTCCGAGGCTACTTTATATCATAAATGATAAGCAAACATGATACTGTACTTAATAAAAATGATAAACAACATTAAAAATATGTGAGAATTTTGGTTCTATTTAATTTCAATTGTAAAACTTCCCATACACCTTACTTTGGTTTTATATTTATTTATTTAAACAACGTCCGAGTGGTGACGGATTAAAAATAATGAATGTCACTACCCCTATTCATCCCGTGGATGTCGTAAGAGCCGACTAAGGGAGCAAACTACGCAGGACGACAGCACTGCTAAGAGAAGGAAAACTTGAAACAAACCCTTTTTTTTTACGTGTGGAAATCCCCTCGGACCGTCACCCCACCGGGGTTTGCGGCGGGGTGGTGTGTCGGACTCGGACCGACTAAAACCACACGGTGTGCCACTCTGCGCCTGTAATAGGAGGGATCCGGGAACAGCTGTTATTAAGACATCCGGACCCCTCCTAGCGCCGGCCCGCTCCTGGTGCGGGCTCCGTCTCAAAATATTCCTCTCTTTAGGCGACGTCCGGCACACGCGGACGCCGCCCCCTCGCGGCTTGCCAAACTAATGCGGGTGGAGGGGAAACCCACCCCGTCCACCCGCGGCCACACTCAGGGCGGCATGAGGCGCAGGTGAGCGCACCTCCGCCGCCCGGTTCGCCGGCGGCGGCTCGGGTCCGAGTGGAGGTCGCCCTCCGGGCCTTCTCCGCCGCCTCCTTCTGCGAGATTACTTCCTCGCAGAAGGTTGCGACCGCGGTAAAACAACTGTCGCTACCGGCCATGGAGCGTACTACGGCCGGTAGCGAGAGATCAACTCCGATGACTGCAGTGAGGGCCCGGCGCTGCGTCGCCCATGCGGGGCAGACCGCCAGCGTGTGCTGGGCCGAGTCCTCATTGCAGTCGCAGTGGTGGTAGGCGGGACTCAGTTCCCTCCTAGCGACCGAGTGCAGGTACTTTCCGAAGCAACCGTGCCCGGAAAGCACCTGCGTCAGCAGAAGGTAAGGGTCCCGTGCTGCCGCCCTGCCCACTCCTGCCCACGGAGAGCCTCCACGGCGGCGAAGCCAGCGCGTGGAGTCTCCAGCCGGTACGACCATCTGACCATGGTGGCTCGGCGAGCGGCTTCGCGCCACTCGCGCACGTCTTCGGGCGGACGGCGAAATCCGCTCTCCGCCCGGGAGTCCGCCACTCGCCGATAAACTTCGGCAAGCACTTCCGCCTCCAAATCCCACGGGGGAGTTCCGGCCAACGCGCAAAAACAAACCCTATACCAACCCGTTTGGCCATCGTGGTATAGTAGGCCAAAACCTCCTTTCTAAGGAGAGGCCTATGTCCAGCAATGGACTGTCATAGGATGTTGGTGGTGGTGATTTAAACAACTTATGTAGATCGGTGGACTTAATGCTCTGGGCATTCTCTTCCAGCCAACCTTTGGGTGGTGTCGAAATCTTGAAAGGTAGGAGCACCAAGGTTACAGATAGATAGATAGAAAACTCCTTACTTGTACACCGTTTTACAAGTAGTATGGTACATAAAAATATCAGACATGTAATGTACAAAGGGCAGCCTCATTGCTAAGAGCCATCTCTTCCAAGCAACCTTAGAATGGATTAAAATATTTTGGAGAGACAGTAGTAGTTGAAGGTGCAATGAGTTTCTGACAGGCCTGGCCAAGAGACCTATCGATATTAGAAGGTAAATAAAATTCTATCTACACATTTGTTTAAATCCTTTTATTTTAAATGGTCAAAACATTTAAATGAAACTATACCTTTTTTAAATATAACGTATGCCTTTATTAGAATTATTTTATCAACAACAACAAACTGTGTAACATAAGTAGAAGAGAAGATATAGATCGCATGGTTTTTATTGGCTCTGTAAACATTTATGTAACTGTCTAAATAATTATTAACTCTATAGGACAAATGTTTTAAACAATTTTAAGTTTTAGGCACTTCTATATAAAATAAACATTAGGTATTTCAAATATAATAAATATTCTTCAGTTAAAATTATCGTGATAAAGGTCTGTAATATAATGTATTACGAGATTATTGTTATCAAAAGTAATTGGGTCGGGTTCTTTTGGTAGTTTAACGACCTTCCAACATTTCAACAACTTTTTTTTGAGCCTACTACCTCTAGTTGTACCCTCTAAGGATTCCAATAGACGTAACATGATTCTTGCCTTGTCCATTAATAGCCCTCTCTTTTGAATTTTTTTCATTTCACTGTAAAGGTAAATAGTTGATACAAAGTATTCCTTGATATGTTCAGTCACTTCTTTTACTCTCTGTAGATGTTTTTGTCTCGATAATAGTTTTAGTTGGTTTCTATCCGAAATTATCGCCCTCCGTATATGATCATCCTCTAATATTTTTATTTCCAAAACTATGGGATACTCTATGGATCTTATTTCTCGGAAATTGAAGAACAACTGCAAATAAATGTTTATGAATTGTCTGCGATTAGCTTCGTCGCGAGCGTTTGACCTTCAACCTGCGGGTTTGACTACCATCTTGAAATGTTTTAAAGGACATTCTTATAATACAATGCACACACTATCTATCGCATCCCATGATATTTAATTATGTTAAATAATGAGCTCACTATAGGTTTTTATGCTATAGAAGAGCAAAAAACTCAGACGGGTCACCCGATGATAAGTAACATGGCAACTCATGAGCCAGAAGTGAATATGTTAAAATATTATGAAAATAGATATTTAAATAGTACTAGCTCCATCTAGTGCTCTATGGTCAAGTACTCTAAGTCAAGTCTATGGCTTACAAATTACTAAATAAAATCGTTTTGTCACAACAGCTAACGTGTTTTATTAGAATCCTCCCAGAATCAGGGTGGCGGGGTTTGGGCTCCGTTAACTAACTCGGTGAAAAGTAATTAAATAATTGTTTAACACTCCGGTCGAGTCGGCTCATTTGTGCCAAGGGATGTCTCACCCATGAAAAAAGCCAAGCAATTCAAATGTATTAAGTCCATGCCTTAAAACTGCCTGACTTGTTGAGCAGGTAGCAACCTGCTCAAAAAGTCAGCTTGACTCTAGCGAGTCAACCAGAAAGTTACCCTACGGGCGTTATACCGACTCAAGAACTTTTTACCTTCCGAGATTAAAGCGACGTTAGTACAGAGCTTAATTTTACCCATTATAGACTATGATGATTATCTTTTCAACAAAAACAACTGATTTCTGAAAAACTGTATTTGATTCATTTTTAAATTTCGTAACTATGATCATATTTCCTCATTTCGTCTTAAATTAAATTGGCTCCCATTTCGTCAGCGTCGTCACCTGCGCGCACTAGACTCTCTACACTATTCTCAACTCTCCTAACTCGCCTAATTACTTGACATCCTCCTTCTACTTCCTGTGTTCCAATCATAACAGAACCCTCCGCTCTACAAATAATCTTTTATTACGCTCTTCCCACACTTCTGCATGTGTTCATTCTGCTTTCCTTATTCAATCTGTACTTCTCTGGAATGATCTTCCTCAGGCAATCAAAATAGCAACCAGTCGTAATTCGGTCAAGGTGAAGGTACGAGCTTTCCTTACCCAGAATATAGGAGAATCATCACAAATATGATTTGTATCTTAAAAAGAATCATACACTGACATGATCGACAGTGGACTAAAGAAGAGCCTGGTTAAAAGCACCCGTAACCGGCGAGTGTTATGCCGATAGTATTGAATCTGGAAGACGCACGAGCTCTAAGTCAGGATCGCAAGTAGCGTTCTAACGTCTCCACCTACCCCGGATGCGAATGAGGTGTGAGAATATATGTATTAAATTTAATGTTCGAGAAAACTTACAGAAAGTATCCACAACGCTGCAATGTCCATTATAGAGAAATTTAATATCAGTTTTCAACTGCAATAAGATTTGATTACCGTGACAATAGAAAATTGTATTTTTATTTTACTCTAGCTGATCTGTGCAACTTCAACAACAACATTAGAGAGAGAGAGAGAGAGAGAGAGAGAGAGAGAGAGAGATTTTAAAAGATGACATGTTATCGCGGACTTTTTTAAGAACTTTTTAAGAGGAATAATTTCATTATACATGATTGCCCATAAATTTTCCTTGTCTTTGCAACATTTTTCATTAATGCTTGTCTCCTAATGACGTCGTATAGCCTATAGCCTTCCTTGATATAATGGGCTTTCCAATACTAAAATAACTTATCAATTTGAACCATTACTTTCCGAGTCCTGATTAGCGCGTTTAACCAAACAAATAAACTCTTCACCTTTATAATATTAGTATGGATAATATTTTATGCATTTTATTATTATACGCATGTATAAAGAAGTTAAGTACATCCATATAAAATTCCATAATAGTGACACACACACCTTTAGTGGAACATGGCATTTCGTCCTTGAGACATCTACGATTAAAATCGTTGGTTTTTAGCCTTAGATGTGCACGGACGATAAATAGTAATAAACTGTTATCTACATTACTTTATTTTTCAAATTAAAATGGTACCAAACGCGCAGTATACTTATGAGTATAAATAAAAACAATCTAAACGGTTATGTTCGTAAATGACGGAGTTCTGAGGTATTTAACACACGGAATTAAAATCCTATTTTTCTTTCTTAAAGTCGGTTAAAAAGGTGTTTGTGTTCTCTCTTTAGTTTTTTTTAAACTTTGCTCTATTGCTATTTTATTTTCTACTTTTTACGGTAATATACCTACCATTGTAATTATCATCATTTGTATTTTAATTATGTAGTTATAACTCACGTCTACTTAAGTTTTATTGGTGATATAAAATTAAATTTAGTTCTGATAATATAGACAATGTGTAGAACAGAGTGTAAACTATCCATATGCATTTGGAGTTTTAAGCCATTTGGCTTAAAACTCTTGACTAAGTAAACCGCAGTGAAGGGGTTACTGATACCAATCAGCTGATCTACTTAGGTCAGTCAAAGATGTTAGCAGATTTATTACACTTAAAGTTCCGTTTTTTTTTCACTATGCATGAGGCGCGCGGGAGCGCCTCCCTACTGTAATGAAGGTATAATAATAATTTATTTGTATACAGATAGTGGGTAGTTCGTAAATCTTCATCTATGTGCCTTTTACATTCGTGTACTATAAAACCAACCCCAGTCTGCGGTTTTCTTAAATGGTTACCTATACGCCTTCGCCGGAATGTTCATATCCTCTCTATTCTATACCATATTCTTTTCTTACTACATTCACCGTCCTGTCTCAAAGAACATTTTGAGTTCTTACACAATTCACATTTCAGGCTCCTCAGATCATCAGAGAATCTGAAGTTGAATTTGGTGACAAATCGTTCTCGGTGCAAGCGGTTAGACTATGGAACAACTTACCCGAGGCAATCCGAAAAGCAAATCATTGCAATTATTCAAAAAACAAGTCACAAATTACTACTTGACATTGTAAGGGTTGTTAAAGGGATATTGATTGTTTGTTAATACTTGGTACGTCACAGGTTAAAAACGATTTGTGTTATAACCTTTGTATGTAGGTATTTATTTTATATATGGATTTATATGTGTTAGTAGTATGTTTATTGTAAGCGTATTTAGTATATTTACTTTTATATATATGAATTATCTAAAGTGTTTTAAAGTACACCATAGACTACCCTAAATCAGATTAAACAATATCCATGTAAAGGTTGTCTGTAAGAGATCGCCGTGAGCGAAAAGACCGCTATTGTAATACCAAAACGTAGATGTCTATCCATGTCTGTACAATATATAGGTACTGTAGCGGTGTACTATAAAGATGTATAAATAAATAAATAAATATAAAAAAATGGCAAAATTTACAGTTTATATCAAATTTATGGTTTAATATAAACGAAACACTTAAACGTCAAACCTAAAGTCAAGGCGAAAGTCTATGTTACGGACAGATATTTTTAGGCTAAAATACTGTTTACAAACATGACTCATTATCACTAAAACCGTAATAAAAATCATTTTTCTGATCTGAAATTAAAATTGCCAATCTAGTATTTATTTCTATATCAAGTAGCAATAACATACAATATTTCAAGCTACACATGAGTTAACGATGGAATTTCTATTACTAAATTATTCGATTTAACTGAATATAGATCTATTTCTCTGTCGTGAACAACAACATCATAGCATTCGTTAATGGCCTTTGCATAAGATTTATTAGATGTTGTATCAGCTATATGAATCATTTTCCTTATTTCATCCCTCACCTCTCTGTTTTTCTTTATCCTTTGTACCTCTGAATGAAAATATCTCGTAGACTCAACATTATGTTCCATGAATTCGATTATTTTTTTTATTCTATTCAAATTTACTTTCATTTGACTTTTTTTTTTTACTGCTTCGAAATAGTTCTGTGGATTGTACCTGTTTTGCTTTTTCAAATTCATATATGCACTGGACGCGATTCTACGTATAATTGATAAATTTGGTTTTTCTTTCATTGAATACAATTCTTCACCTTCTTTTTCTTCTAACTCCGTTTTTCTAACGTCATCAAAATGTGTAATCTCATTTGCAAGTATTTCTTGAAATGTTTGTGAGTCTAAAAATTGCTTGACTGTGTCCTCCAAGGCTGCCATATCAATATTATCGGATGATGCATCTCCATACAAAACGATTGCAGTCTGAAAAGTGTACCTAATTGTAGTGCTCGTTAATAGCTCATGGCATAGCTCTTTTTTCTTTTGCCGGTGAGTCGGTTTGCAACACAAGGTTCATTGTTAGAGAGCCATGCTTCAGTACATATGTCACACCTCCCTAATTCTGAAGGACAGCGCTCAAAGGACAGCAAAGCACTCGTGTCTTTTGAGTGCAGGTGTCCATGAGCAGCGCTAGTCACTTACTATCATTTGACCCGGCTGTTTATTTGCCCCTTTTACCATAAGAAAACAGCACACTCTATATTCGGGGATTACACATACCAACAAGCTAAGTACTGTTATGAAAAACTTTTCTAATAAAAATATATTCTTAGTGGTGAAATATGCTCGTTGTAGGCATTTAGGCAGGATACTTTGTACTAATACAAAATCAAGCGGAAAAATACATATGTAATACCGTGGGAAAGCCATAATATGAGCTGGCTCAACTGGGCTGATGCCACAGTCTCACAGAAGATCGGTGTTAGGTAATTCTTTCGTTGCTTTTCATCAACCCAACTCCCCCAGTCTAAGGGGAGGGGGACTCAATAGGTAATAACTCACTAGTTCGTCCCCGTCTGTTTGTTTGTCCGCATACCATAAAAATAATGATTGAGACTTACTATAGATATTTTGAATACTAACAAAAAATTCATTGTGAACATGTGAATAGCAATGTGGCTTTTCCAATCGGAAAATATTAGTTAATAATGATTTAGCTGTAGTAAAATTTTACTGTAGTAAAGTTATAATTAAAAATGCCGTGTAGGGTTCCGTAGTTGGATAATATACGTTTGAAAGAAGTAACAACTTCTTTAAATAAATTTTTCAAAGGATTTTGATAATTTGTACTAAATTTTTCACATAAAAAATCCTTTTTATTTAGAAAAATCTACGAATAATAATTATTATTCGTAGATTTGAGTTTTGAGTTCGAATAATTATTATTATTCGTAGAGAGTAATAATTGAGCAACTATTACTCTATAGGCAATGAAGCTAACTTGCTGTTTATTCTAATTCGATATGTAGATATACTAGCATCAGTTTTTTTTTTTTCAGATTTTTCACTAGCACCAATCACTCTCTGGTAGCTGCTAGAAACCCATCATCATGATAGCCACGACCACTCTGATAAGATTGACACGACTAAGAAGAAACAGAGCACTCGGCGATTAGCACTATAAGGATTAACCAAAATCCCTTTTTTTGTTTCAACCCATCAAGGTAAATAGGTACAACTTTTGAATGATTTTTACTATTGTAATACATTTCTTTTATAAATAATAACTAAGTATTCTGTGATGCATTAGTGACTAATCACTTCAAAAGATTTCATAGACCACGGCTGGACATAGGTCTCTCCTTAGAAAGGAAGTTTTGGCCTACTATACCACGCTGGCCAGACGAGTTGGTGTAGGGTTTGTGTCAAGTTTTCCCTCTCATTAGTGACAAAAACAACAAAATCCTTCATTCAATTGTTAATTTAATCACAATAATTAAAATATGTAGTATAAAATAAAGTTAAAGAAAATTAAACTTTTCATGTTTTACGTGTGGTGACGGATTAAGTATACGGATTGTCACCATCCCCATTCATCCCGTGGGTGTCGTAAGAGCCGACTAAGGGAGCAAACTATGCAGGACAACAAAGGAAGGATAACTTGTACCAACCCGTCTGACCAGCGTAGAATAGTGGGCCAAAACCTCCTTTCTAAGGAGAGGCCTACGTCCAGCAGTGGACTGTTAAAGGCTGTTGATGATGTTTTACAAGTCCGTGTGGTGACGGATTAAGAATACAGAGTCTCACCACCCTTATTCATCCCGTGGGTGTCGTAAGAGGCGACTAAAGGAACAAACTACGCAGGCCAACAGCACTGCAGAGAGAAGGATAACTTGAAACAAACCCTATACCAACCCGTCTGGCCATCGTTATATAGTAGGCCAAAACCTCTTTTCTAAGGAGAGGCCTATGTCCAGCAGTGGACTAGTAAAGGCTGTTTATGATGTTTTACAAAAATAAATAACGACATTTTTTTAAATTATTTTGTAATTCAATGCAAAGTGTGACCGCCTGTGTGTTTTACCAGGCAATACCAGGATGTTTTCCATTGCCTAGTAGGTACTCTCTGGTCCTTCGAGCTGTGTGCATTGTCATGCATCAGCGTGAAATCTGAACCAAGACTTTGTGCAAATGGGTGAAAATAAAGCCCGAGGACATCTTCAACGTAAGTATCACCGTTCATATAGCGAAGCGCACACGGAACACTGCGCTGTCAATCAGTCTGTCAGTTTCTTCTTATATTTAAATAGGTATTTAAGTAATTGATTGGGTTATGAGATGAGATGTCAGCAGAGTTAGTCCTATCTAGAGGTAATTCCCTCTCTTCTCTGACATCTACTTACTTAATATTGCACTTGAAATCCTCAAGCAAACAAAGCTTTTGAATTAATTGCCGTTGGAAAAGTACATAGAAGACTGTGTCGTGCCATAAACTTTATATGCAATGATCGAAAAAATATAATTTCTACGAAAGTGCTCGACTGGTTAAGTGATTTAACTAGTTGATTTCTTCTTTTTTAACGTTAGGTACGTCAAAAACACACATATGAAAGATACATTGATAGGTGTATATGTACCTACACGTGTACGCGTACATATATATACTTATATTGTATTTACACGATGTGAAAAGCGAACCTTGGCAAGTAATAGGATAAATATCTATTATTTTTTCATGTTCGACTGAACTGGTAGTTAAGAGGTCACTGATGAGCTAGATCGTAAGTTCAATTCCCAGCCAGGACGGTGATGAACACGATCTTTTGTTCAGGTGACCCGTCTGCTCCTTTGCCCCCTATGGAATAAAAAAAAGTTTTGTTACCATACAAGCTCTGCCGTTTGAGATCGCACCGTGGGTGCGATCTCAAACGGCAGAGCTTGTCTGGAGCTTACTTGCCTGGACTTATCTGGAGCATAAATTATGTTATTAATTGTATAAATTAGAAGTTTAAAAACTATTTACTTTAACAGACGTTCAATATTTTTGTTAGAATAACTTAATATATCTGATGGTTTCTGTATACATTGTTTTCAGTAAATAAAAAACATAATTTTAATTCTGTTTGAAATAAAATTGTTTTTTTATTATAATAAACATAATAACTTCTATTATAATTACAAATGTGTATCTGTTTGTTTACGCTTAATAAAAAAAAAAAAGAATTAAAGCCCCTTTTATTAAAAACAATACTGTTACCAAGGGATTCATAAAAAAATGAACACGAACATAAGAAGACACAAGTAGTTAAAAGTAAGGGCAGTAATTGTGACCAAAATCTTAATCGTGAACTTGTTAACTTGTCAGTAGAGATGAAGAGTTGCAGACAATGTAATAAAATAAAAAATGCATTATTTTTATGGTAACATGGGCGGCGGTGGTCACTTTAAATCAGGTGACCCGTCTGCTCGTCTGCCCCCTCTACCATAAAAAAAAAGAATTATCGCTACACATTTTTTTATTTTCGAAACATTTTCAAAACAAACATAATATATTTATGCCTTAATGTAATAACGTTCACTAGTTAACGTTATCGTTGAAAGGGTCTTTAACTATATGCCTGACTAAATTGTTCGTTTTGATGTTTTCCCAGCCCGTAGAAACTGGAGGTGGTTTGACATTTTTATAACAATTCAACACATTCTGTTTCATCAGCTCGTTGCCTGGTAGTTCCAAATGTACTATCATTCGCCTCAGCGTATCAAAAACTTTCCCATCTCGCAATATTCTTTTCATTTCATTATGTATATAAATAGTGGGACCAAAACGGTTTATTAAAGTTTCATTCACATAGTTCATTCTTGTCCGGTGATTAGCCTCCCATATCGAGTCATGATATTCAGAGGCTCTAGTTTTTCTTCTTTCGTGCCGTTTTTTATCGATATTTGTGCTATAAAAATAAAGAGGAGAATCGAATTTTCGATAATTATGAACGACATCTGGTTTTATTTCATTTTCTGTTTCTTTGAGCATTCTTGTGCGGGTGGGATTATAAATAATAATGATATATTTTTGATCAAACGATTCGTTTATCTCATTCAGAAGGATATCTAGGTTGTTTTTTGTTTTTAACTCTAAAATTGTTAGGGTTTCAGTCCCTCCAGAACGGCTTACTTGGTGGACAAAAGTTACCTGAAAAGGAGTATGGAATATTGTAACAAAGCATGGAAATAAAAACACTTTTATAAGAGAACTTACAGATATCGATAGTTGCGACTATAATACGGTAATTATTAATGAAAACGTAACGTGGAAAATAGGAAGGTGATATCACTCTATTGGGCTAAGATAACATCGTAATTTCGTCATGGTCATAGTCGTAAAATAGTGTCGGATCAGCATTTTCGGGCAGCCATTTCAAATAATTGTGTTATTTTTTGACACAACTTTTTACACAATCTGTAATTTTGAAAATTGGCATACAAGTGAAAAATAGGGTTGGTTTTAAAATTCAATAAAAATAATAGATAACTAATAATTATACAATTTTCTAGAAAAATTACATGCTTAATTTTACCTTTAACGCATATCAAACAAACACTGAATAATTTAAAATCTAAAATACATATATTTTTCTCTTGAATGTAGTAATAATATTAAGACAATGTAATATCCAAATATAGTAAAAACTGTATTTCGTATTTTTTTCAAAACCGACATTATTCTACGACCACGACGATTTTCAATTCGAATCAGTAGTTCCTGAGGATAGCGCGTAACCAAACAAATAAACAAACCCTTCAGCTTTATTAAAAGTATTAGTATAGATTGAATTAGAAAAACATGTTGTCTTATCTGGTCTGGCTGGAAGTGAATCTGAGTGCTGAGTACGACGAATAGATATGTGATAAGAAGGATCATATTATTTGGTATTTGTATATCTGATATCTGTATATATATTTTACTAACTTTTCTTTTTTTTTTTGCCGTTTTGGCATGATTGAGTAACATACTTACGATTTGAAAGTAAATTTAAAAATTGAAAGAAAATATATTGACAGTGCTGGTTTTGTCTTACACTTACATTTTTAATCGCGGATATTTTTAAATGGATGTACCGGATGTTCTCATGTAGTGTCTTATGTTTTTAAAATGCTAGCTGTAATAATATCCCAAACAGAGAAACAATAAAATTAAATCCTTTCTTAGTGCATACCTAAGTCACTTATGGAACATTTGTGCAAAATTTCATGTTTCTAGACCCAGCGGTATCAGCTTTGCGTTGATCGATCAGTCAGAGAATCAGTCTTTAGAAATGAACAGAACAACAGAACACAGTAGAAATGAACAGTCCTTAGAACAGTATTTAGAACTAATCTGATTATGTTTATCAGCAGTCTGGCTGTGTGTAGCTTGCGATCAGACGTGTGTGTGTATGTGAAATGTGTTTACTATTACTAATATGCATAACATTGTATATACTCTTGCTGTCTATCTAATCATTAAAGAGCATTGCACTGCGTATGCTCTCCTCATTAGAAAAAGACAACAAGAGGCAGTCTTTCGGCGCCTGGCATCACTTTCGGCTTGCTCTATTTTTACATCTCTATGCACTTCGATCATATATCTGATGATGATTAAAAATAACGGCGGGTAAACTTTGCTTGAATGCAGTTGTAATCACAATTGAGTCCTCAGATGCTTCGCGCTAGCGATGTAACATTTTAGGTGTAATTGAAATCTCCTTATATCGCTCTAGCGATAAGTGTATACTTTTATGATATATTTTATGATTTACGTTTTAAAATATAAAATTGCACTACAACTAAAGACTTTTTCATTTCGACTTTTCACTTTCGCTTTGAACACGTATCAGTTTTATACATCCGTAAGTAAATATAGATTTCGTACCAAGCTATTAATTTACTGTATTTATTTATTCTACACATCATGCACATTTAGTTTATTTACGGACTTAATGGCTAAGGCATTCTCTACCGATTGACTGGATTGGGTGATGCAGAGCAAAACAGGAAGTAGGCGCATTTTAGTATTAGTTAATTTTAGACACAAAATTTTGCAATGTATACTAAATACGAAATCACTTTTTTTTATAGACAGCCGCATTAGGAATGTATACTGTGTCGCAGGAGACTTCACACACATACATGAAACGGACACAAGGAACACCTAAACTCAGAACAACAATTTGTGGATCACACAAATTATCGTTCCATGTGTGGATCGAACCCACAACACTCAACGTAGTAAGCGGCGTGGCCACCGCCTAAACCACTACGCCATCCGAGTAGTCCAACCATATTATATACACATATACAAACCTGATATATACTACACCCATACATATTACACATAAGTACATATGTATATTACAATACATAAATACAGTACAAAAGTATATAAATACATTTATACATACGCAAATATATACTAATAACAATTTTTATGTTAAAAACAGCTATATAAGGACGAGTAGGTATATTTACTTCATTATAGGGTCTGGTTTATTATTAAGTACGATGAGATTTCTGTTTTGAGGTAACAACAAAGAACAGCTGAATCGAGAATCTTCTCCTTTTTTAAATGGGTTTTTAATCAATTCGGCCTGATTATTCTAAACACAAATTACACTAAATAATATTAGAAACTTACAATGAACATAAAATTACATAAAATCGTTAGTCTCTGCAGAGTGTGTAACATTTCTAATCTCAATTTACTTGTGCTCATATAACTAGATTTATGGTAGTTTTACAATAAAAATCTATTGGAACGATAAAGATTGATAGGGTGGAACGAGTGACTTTTTAATTGGTGCTATTCTATTCTTCTTGGGAAACTGATTTTGTGTTTTTAGTTCCTGAGTAGGCATGAATTTACAAATGTACAAAAGAAACAACACTTCTTTTTAAAATTTCAGATTGCTGTTTACCTTCTATCAACACGGTTCTTCTATTATGGCAGAATACGAGTATAATGTTTCAAATCTTTGCCATAGTATAGTTTTTGCTGCTGCTTTGGACGAAGCAGGTAAAATTTACAGTTTATGATATGAAGGATGATGTATAGGTTATGATTAATGATTGTAACTGAATAGGTTAACACATTGCAAAGTTAAGCATTTCCAGGTCAGTCTATGGGCATTTCTTAGCACATTGAGAGCCCACCGTGCCTCGGCGAGTCCGGTGAAACGGCCTACGTTGACACGGTGCGGTAACCGCGTATGGCTCTAACCGCCAATATCCTCTGAGGGCACAGCCGTCTTATAGCGACGCTGGCTCCACGCAAATTGGGCAAGAGTTGCCCTAGGGCAGAAGCAACGCCGACCAGCTTTGGAGGAAGCGGTCGAAAGTGCTCGCCGAAGAGCCACCTCCCGTCAAGAATCAGGCCGGTTCAGGCCCAGATACTTCATTTGGGCCTGAACCGGTACGAGGACCGAACCGACCACGATGGAGGCGACGAGGGGCGGACCACGGCGGGGCCCATGGAATAAGAGGGCCTCCGTCTTATCCCGTAAGCCGAGAATCTCAATGCGCCCGACCACCAGAGAGACTCCCATGGTGGCCAGGCGCGCGGCCTCCAGGTGTCATCGGCGTAACAAACAATGCCCAGCCCGGGGGGAGGCAATCTCGAAGAACCCAGTCCTATCCTATGTTCCACAGGAGTGGTACGAGAACAGACCCCTGCGGAACACCGCACGACATGGGCCGATGTCTCAAAGCACCATGTGAAATTAACTTGCACCAGCCCCCCAAAACTCGAATTGGTTAAGGCGAGGTACATGACTGGTCGCTGATGGCAGCCGTACACTGCGCGTCGCATTTTTAAATAATTATATGTGTAGTGAAACCACTGTTCAGAAACTATTTTATTATTCTCCTTGTTACTGACTAGTAAAAATATTAAGTAAACAACAAATAAAGAAATTTTAATATCATCATAATAATAAGGAAATTATTGGGGTCGCTGTTATTGAGTTGACATACATAGTTGTAACAAAACAAAACTAATAACAATGTGCGAACATATTATTATGGTTTATTTTAATGCGTGTACTTAAACAGGTCTTACAGTAGGTACCTATTCTTAATACCTGTTCATAAATTATTATTATGTATAACTACGCCTGAATGAACAAAAAATCTGTACCCTTACATTTTATTATGTAATAGCTTTATTATCGCCGTTAAAAGTACCCTATGTCCTACTTCAAGAATCAAAATATCTCCATGCCAAATTTCATTAAAATCGGTTCAGCTATAAAAACGTAACAGAAAGACAGAGTTACTTTCGCATTTATTAGTAGGGATTTCTATTTTTACAATGAGTATCGCAATCATACTCATTATGCAATCTGTTTGCTGATATATATATTTTGGGTTACTGTGGGTACAGTGTGTCACATCAGCACTGGATATTTCACCGTCTAGTAAATGCAGAGGCGGTGACCCATTTCAGTAGGTTGTGCTGGGCATATATACTTGCATGTTGCATATTATATCTTAGTGTAAACGTGTATATCATAATATGTAACTTATGAAGTCCATAGCATATCACTGAAATAAACATTTTTTTTTCATTTCATGTCAATCGGAGGCTATCCTCTTAATTTATTTTTATATTAAAAGCACATGCCAACTGTAGTGTTGAGTTAAGAATAAAAATAAACCACTAAAATAAGTTTTACCTTCATTTATTTTCAACCCCACCCAGCGATTTTGGCATCAGAGAAATCTTCTATTTTAACTCGTTTCAGACTTGGTGGCAAATTTTCTCCATAAGTATCAAAGATAGGGTTGTACGTCCATGGTAATACATGTGTCATGCCATTTTTATCATATATCACTGTGTCACCATCCAATGACTCTTCAACTTTATTTGACTTCTCAGACAAAATGTTACGAACCAGGTCTATAAAAGATGGGTAAACAGCTTCTGATTTGGATGCATTTTTTGATGTTACTGAAACAAAGAATAAATTATAAAGTTCTAACTTTACTTCGCTGTGGCATATAGTAGTGAATTGATGAGAAATGTAGTACAAAACTAATGCGATTAATAGATAAAAAAGATCATGTCAGCATTTTAATATAAATTCTCTTCGTCAGCGTCGCCGCGTCAATGATCTCGTATTTCTTTACAAAATAGTAAATGGATCAATAAAATGTAGTGATTTAACGGAATGCATCCTTTTTCCTGTTCCTTCAAAACCACCAAGATATGCCATCACCAGAAAATTTCAAATTAAAGTATTTAGGTCGACTTACCCAGTAACCCTGTATTTATAAAACATTCATATTATAGTAGAGGCAATCCCAGAATAACAAAGATCATATATGTAAAGCCATAGAAAAACATGTTTTTGTGTGCGAAGTTGGGACAGATTGCTAGTATAAGTCTAAATCAATGAAAGTACAATATTTTTTACTGTGATACTGCACTTTTTAATGTGTGAATACATACCCCATTCCCTGAGACTACTTAATTGGTCTCGGGTGTAGTGCGAAAAACGGCATATACTGCCAAACTGACATTGGCCACTTGCAAAGCGAGCACAAGGCTTCTTCTTACTTTCTTCCGCTAATATGGTTTCAGGATCTAAAATAGATAAATACACAAGTCTTAATTGGGAAACATTGAATCAATGGAACCTCCTGGAGAGTATTTGAAATAGGATTATACTCTATAAGGAGTGATAAGATTATTTCATTAATCATCATAATTTTTCTAATAGGCCCAATTTTTTTTGGGTTGGTGTAATACGTATCATGTTATATTGAGTAAAGAGGCTAAGCATTATATAATAATAATAATAAAGCCTTTATTTCCGAAATAATTTCATGTTACATATTTTCGTGTCTTAGTAAAAAAATTTGAAATAAAAGTATTTAAAAAGAGTTTATAAAAGAAAGTAAAACTTATAAACTAAAACTACACTTTCATTATAAGATGTCTCTTGGTTCGGTTTGCCTTACGGCAAAGGCCTCCTCCAAGTCTCTCCATTGCATTCTGTCTGCTGCTACTCTCATCCAAAGTGGTCCTAAGGTCATTTTTAGGTCATCCAAGCATTATAACTGCAGATTAAAAAATCACTCTTCAAGGCTTTAAAGCTAATCGCAGAAGGCAATGTGACAAATATAAATGATATTTATATTTGTATAAGTTATTTCAAATTTGTGACTTTTAATATAATATTACACTTTTACAACCACCTACACAAAAAATTGAACATTATGAGACATGGATGTTTTGAGACTTGATTATTTTGCAACTTGAACATCCCAAAGATGTAATTACTATGTAAGTAATATGAATGTTTTGCAACCATGTTATTTTGCAACTTGAATTTTGAGACCAAATGCCTCAGATAAGGCAGAGGCCTTTTTTTCTATGGATCCGTCAATTCGGTCCTTGTAACAGTTCAGGTCCAGATAAACTATCTAGGCCTGAGCTTTAGCGAGAGTAGGAGGTCTTTTGCGTAATCTGGGTGGCCTGGCTATACACGGGGGTTGTCTGGTCAATGGCACTGTATGGTGCACAGGTAGGGGTGGTGGCTCTGAGTGCCAATAATAGGGCGTTTTTTTTTTAACATATATATTTTGATTACCATAAATAGAATTGTGACATTATTTGAAGTCAACTGATATTTTAATTCCAATTTTAAATATTTTCCGCCCGCGTGTATATCGGTTATCGAAAGTAGCCTATATCCTTAATCAAGAATCAAGTTCATTAAAACTGGTTCAGAGATTTAGCCATGAAAGCGTAACAGATAGACAGAGTTGCTTTTGCATATGTAATATTAAGTTGGGAGTATAATTATTTTTACTACATGTGTTTTTAATACACTTGTACGTGTGTACCTATTTAATTTTTATTTACATCATACGTAGCCCAGTGTGTACTTTATACAAATAAAGAATTTGATTTAATTTGAAACCTTGATCTTACTTTTTTAACATACACACTCACCTTTGAATTGTTGATAATGTTCTTGAACCAGCTTTTGATGGACAATCCCATTATTATGTGTTTTTATCATCGAGGGCGTGGCAACCATTGCTTTGTCGCAATAATCACAATAATATCTTTTGCCCATTATACGTAGTATGACGAAACACGCATTAACTGCGAACTTTTGTAAATTGTTTGTATTTATTTTGCACTTTTGTAAATACTGACTATAGAAGACTGTCAACAGTTCAACACTAACAAATATGACATTAGCACTAAAGTATTGCCAACGCTGGCTTTTTGTCTGCTAATAAAAAACATACACTTGCTTGCCTTTTTTCTGTGTGGAAATCCCCTAGGATATAAATTATTTCTTTAATGTTTAAGAAGAAATAAACCATCATCATTTCGATTTATTTCTGTTTTTTTTTTTATAAAATACAAAACCCACTGAGAATCAAAACTTCTGTGAGTTGCCAATTGCCATGCCAAAAAAATTCTCAAGGTGACAACTGACAACCAGAACGACATCCGATCATACCTGTGATTTACCTATATTATATTTGATCATAAAATATTTAGTTTATAACTTATGTGAATATTAATAAACTCATGAATATTGTTACTTTTATGCTAAGTTTGTCTTATTATTTTATTATGACTAATTTCTTTAATTTATTCCGTGTGGTCACGGATTATTACAATTACAATTACAAGGATAACAACACTGCAAAGAGAAGGAAAACTACAAACGCTATACCAACCCGTCTCGTAAGTGTAGTATAGTAGGCCAAAATCTCCTTTCTAAGAAGAGGCCTATGCCCAGAAGTGGACTATTAAAGGCTGTTGATGATGATGAATTACTTTAAAAATAGGAATTAGAAAAGAACGAATTATTTGGTAGAAATTATGAATACAAAGAAGGATGAAATAAAATATTAAATATAGAAGTGGGGGAACGGGAAGAGAGGTGTAGAGTCACTGTCACCACGCCAACACGTCACGCCACGCCAACAGACCCTCTACATGAGACGCTTAACATAAAAAAAACGGCGGGTTGCACTCCGGGAGTGCCGGCAGAAGTGAAAACTTGAATATTAACGTTGTGCATTTTTGATATTTTGGAATGGTTAGGAAATAATTTTGCACGAATTGCTTTAATTATCAGTATAAAAGTACTATCAAGCGCCCTGCGCCGCCTAAACGAAACAGCAGGCGCAGGCATACATTTTCGCCGCGCCGTAGAAAGAGAGGGGGATACTTCCTCTCCTACGCCGCGCCGGCTGTCTACTCTCCATCCGTCTTACGAATTTTCAATCAGGGTCACGTGTCCTGACGCGAGTTTAACATTTCTTACCCATTACAAAAAACCTGTACAACGCCGCTAAAGAAGTTTTCACTTCAAAAAATAACAATTTCTGTTCCTTTTGGGATTACCTGGTATAGGTGTACCTACTAAACTAAATCAGTTTAAGGTGATTGAATATACTCGTAGATAACCGGCGTTGGGAAGCAATCAATAAAAAAAAGAAAGCTTCAATTGATTAAAAAATAATTGCGCAATTGAAGAAGTAACTAGAAAGTACTTAGGTATTCTTAACAGAGAGTTTCATTTTCGAATTGCGTAATAGTTTTTCAAACGGTTTACTGTAAGTGAATACTTCCAGAAACTTTCTGTAGGTATAGGTGGAGGTACCCCACGTAAAGTTTTTTTATGTATACCATTTCTTCTTCTCGTTTGTTTGCAATCTGTAGGATAGATCACGTGAAAAGGGACAGACGCATATATAACAACTTTTCTCTCACTTTCCGTTGGAAAGCGCGCTATTTGACTTGACCAACGAGTGCTTGCTGTGCTCATCATAATATGCGACTACTGATAGTAAGGCTTTTAAGACGCTTTTATTATGGTATTTATTTAGGTATGTATGTATTTATTTAGGTATGTATCTATGTAACGGAATCTTCAAAACGTCGAATTAAATTGAAATTTCGCACACTTATCAAGGACCGATGACAATACAATAATTTGAAAAATCTGGCCGATTATCCTAATCTTATAATGTCTTTTGCTACGTACCAAGAGATGTGTCCTGAACGGCGTGTGGCTTAACGAGAAAATAATCATCATTAATTACTAAAAATAACATTAAAATATGCTTGTTAATGGTTACTATTCGTCTAAAATATTACATATGCGTTGATAATTCTTTAAACTTTAATTAATTAAAATTCATAATTAAAATAGTTAACGAATAAATTAAAACCTCTTATTAAAAAAAATAACTTTAATTTATATGGCTGTCTTTTTGTTGAATAATTTAAAATAAATATAGAAAAGGACACTACTTGTTATCCCTAATAAGAAATGATAATTCTCGGATAAAAATATTCATCATAGTAATTATCTGAATAGGGAAGGCCAACGAGTGGCGATGCCGAGGTACCGAGCGATGCGAGCTATGAGACGGACACGTCGGACACGTTTCACTCTCTTCTCCATACAGGTACGTAATACCCACGACTATAGATACATTGATTTTTATTACATTTATTTTATTTGGAAGTCGAAGTCATGGTCCTGGGAACCAAGATCATGTGAAAGAGCCTGTCAAGAAAACAAAAACTGTATTTGTAGGACATTTGCAAAGACTTCAGATTTTTTAAATCACTGTTCCAATTACTTCAGAAATACGAAAACCATTAAAGTACTATATTGGTCCTATGTACTAAGTCACTTGGAATCCGCTTCACAAATTCGGGACCCGCGCTACGCTTGCTACTCCAATGAGATCGAGATGATTTATTTATTATATTAATTTATTCAATAGGTCAGAGCTGCGGTGGGGCTACGCCACCACGCCTAACTTAAGGAAGCAGTGGCATACACCCTGGAGGTTGTAGCAGTTTGACAGGATATGCGGCTGACTCGCAAGATACTTAAAGTTTCAGAAGAGGCAAATGACCTTACTGAACCGTCTTAATGTTGACTGATAAATAATGCTATGTGGCATTAAGTCCTCCATGAGCAAGTTGTAATGCAGGAAGTGTAAAAATAAATAAATTAAAGAAGGCAAGACTCCTTTTTAAGAAGGGCTCAGGGCTATGTGCTACAAATGTAGCAAGATATGCGTATGCAGCTCAATTACCAACTAAAGAGCTTGCAGATGTCCAGGGTAAAGAAAGTAGAGAAATGTCTGGAGAAGCTGATAAAAAACGACAAGGAGGATGACGATGACCTATGTCCTGTGCTTTTTTTATTGTTTTATCTTCCCAGAGCCAAGTTCCTCGTGACGTTCCGAAACTTTATTTAGCCTTTTTTTCTTCTGTGCGGAAATCCTCTCGGATACCACCCACCGGTGGGGTGGTTATGTCTAAATCGAACCGACCAAAAAGCGCACGCCGTTTTGGGTACCAGTTGCCGAGGAACCAGGTGTACCCTAGAAAGGAAAAAAAATGATGTGTGGGAATTCCAGTGTCCCTTTTGTGCTCCCGAAAGGGCGCGCTTGCTTCTGCTAGGGTCACAGATGTCCTCTGTCACCCCCAGGCCTTCGCTTATGGAGGACGGAGGTTGTTCGGCGACAAAGAATGCCTTAGGGATGAATTCCGCCAATGCACCAAATGTGCATGATGTATCAATAAATAAAAAAATACATTTATATACCTATTACAAGCCTTAACATAAACGAGTCTGCCGTCACCAGATGGGCTTAGTTGTTTTTATCATAAAATTTTGAAAGGAGTTTTAGCCTCCACGGGCAGGCCAGCTCCATTGGACGGGCTAACGCCAGGTTCGTAATGCGACCCACCAGAAACGACTTTTGGATGAAAAACTGACGGGTGAATAAGATTCCACAAAATGCGATCGGGTCGACGGCGCACAGTGTCGCGATTATCTATCATGAATGTTTTTTTGCTGTTTTTGCAGGTGATTTGTTGATGTGACAACATTTTCTAGAATCTTTTTTCATCGTATACAGACAGTTATAATGTTCCAAAAATAATTTTATTTTTAAACTTTGTTACCACAGATCCATGTAATATTAAGTTTTTTATTAGTGTGACATTATTATGTACTCTTAAAAAGTCAGTTAAAAAAGCCAAAAATCGATGTAAGTGCCGTGCAATAGGAGAGGCCTAGGTCCAGCAGTGGACTGCGATAGGCTTCATGTTGAAACTAGTACGTTAACTATAAAATTTGCTGTTTTAATGACATAAGATGTGTGAAGTTCTTAAGATCCTAAGTAGTGAGTCACTACTTAAGAGTTAGATACAAAAAAGAACGCCTCCCAATCGTTTGATAAAGGGTCACTTTTTGCAAAAGTCGACGGTTTGCAAAAAGTTTACAACATTTTAATCTGAAAATTTAACTTAAGTTATAAGTTTACAACAGTGACGACATATCTGAATTTCAATTCTCTACCACTTCCCTAACGCGAGTATTTTCGAAGGAGCTTTAGTTTTCGCTCCTGATGCTAAAAACTTGTTTTTACCATTTTTGACATTTCTTTTGCCACCTTAGCTGACAATATTTTGTTATAATTTGTATTGCAATGAATTCCTGATAGTTGAATCTTCATTAAAATATTTTTTCACTCCAATAGGAATTTTCAAGATCTTTCAGGATTTTTTCACTAATTCAACCTGTCTAGTAGTGATTCGATTGAAAAGAGTTTTTTTTCATTGAATAGGGGGCAAACGAAGGTCACCTGATGGGAAGCGACTACCACCTCCCATGAGCGCTTGCAACTCAGGAGTCACAAGCACGTTGATACATAGATAAAACCATAAAACCTTTTTCATTTCTACATGTGTGTGTTTGTGATGTAAGGTATCTGGTACTGTACGGTACTGTACGGTAAGGTACTGAAGTAAATAAAAAAAGGTACGTTTTTATAAAATATTTTTATTACGTTTTTAAAGAAATAATAACGATGTAGAGTTTTTTACCTTTTGGTTGTTCGTGGAGTCAGCGACTGATTCTAAATAGCGGTCTGTAGCCATCAGACAAATAACGTTGAGGTTGAGAGTAAAGTGCTGCGGGATGCAGACTCTCCCTGTAGGGGTTTAAGAGCCCTAATTGTGGTTTTAAAGAGCCCTCAATCAATTGTGATAAAGCTTCTCCATTTTTATCCATTTGCCGAGCAAGAACGTGCGTAGGCGCATATGAATAGGCATTTGCATTGTAATCGTTGTAATCTTCTATTAATTTCAAATCTTGATTAGGATGTCCGATCTTATTATTTGTGAGTCTGGCATAAATATCAGGTAATAATCGTCTGTTTGATAGTAAACTTCGAGTTGTTACACGGTCAACAAGCGGTGAAGATGTTTGCACGGTGTAAACAGCAGGACGGACTATCACTCTACTTCTAGTTAACGTAGTTCTAAAGTGAGGAATCACTACTTCATTGATGCGACTAATCGGGTAAGGTTCTGTAAAGATAATCAGTTTTATTTTTCTCAATAATTAATACCATATATATTTATTTATATCTTTTAAAAACAACTATTATTACAGGTTTAGCCCAATGCAATAGTGTTATACCATCTACTTATTTATTATAAGAAATCATTCTTAATGCTGTTATTGTGAATCCACTCAGTGAGCCATAAAATAAATCTATTTCATCCATATCTATATGACAAATATTGTGAAGCACAAACGTCAAAAACTAAAATTATTAAAGGTAAAAGTGTATTTTGGTCACGCTCGGCTACGCCAGAGGCTAAGTGTGAGTTTATTTCACATCTACTCGATCGTCACGGTGACCGCGTTCGGTGCTGCGATTGGCCAGCAATGAAATCTTCACCAATTGCGACGCCAAACGCTTACCGCCGAGAGCAAGTTGATGTTCAAAATAAACTCCCACTAGTTATTCTAGATCGTATGGCTAAGGCGTTAAGTTTTTTGTGGTTGCATGCATTCTTTGTTAAGTGTGGGGTGTTTGTTAAGTAAACTTGTGAAGACCTGGTATTCGGTAATACACTTTTCTAAGTCATGTAACATACTCGAAATTCAGTCAGGAAAGTTTTGACTGTAATATAAAAATTAATAACATTTTATTTTATTTTATCAGGGGAGCTTACAGCTACATACAAGTAGCTATACAGTAAGCCCCCCCCACCATATTTGCAACATAACGTTATTTTATTAATTTTCTGTATCTGATGTAAATAATTGGTTAATGTTGTTCAATGGATTTAAAAGATTTTTAATTATCTTATAACGAACATAATTAGCGTAGAAGAATGTTTTTTTGAAGAATGGTGATTTCTTTCTCACTGTACAAAATAAGGCAAGAGGAAGTAATAAGAAAAGATTGAGGGCAAAATCATTAAATGGGAAAAAAACGTATAAAAGTAGAAATTTCCAAAAAGGGGGCAAATCTCTACGAATTACTATGGGAATTACTTGTGAATGAATACCATGTCATTAATACCTCTGTTATGCAAATAAACAATCTGAATCTGAATCTGAATCTGAGTCTCAAATTTATGGACAAAAAGTAGAAAGGGGCCAATAGTGAACAGACCACTTTAACACAGCGCTGCCTATAGGTGAGGAACAATTTGAAGATAAAACCTAAATAACGAATAAATTTTCTTTGAATGACCTCGATCTCATTGGAGTAGCAAGCGTAGCGCGGGTTACAAATCTGTGAACTGTGTGACTACAAAGGACCAGTATACTATTCTAATGGTTTCAGATTTATAAAGGCAATGAAACAGCAATTTAAGAAACCTATTGGTTGTTAATAGGTGATCGTTGTTGTTGATTAATTGGCGAACATGATGATCAAATAAAACTTGCTATCGTGCACTACACCCAAATCTCTAGAAACACTTTTCGTCTCAAGTAATTGTTTTTGATTTCATAGTTAATGGCATCCTGAATGTTATTACTGCATTTTTTTATATTATTGGCTAATAACAAAAACGTACAAATATGAAACGGGGGCTATTGTCTATTATGAAAATAAGATATAAAGTACATAAAATTTAGTTATTGTAAAGTAAAAGAGGAACTAGAAAAAATATTATATGTATAATATACAGTGACATAAAAGATTAAAATACCTAAAAATGCATGCTCATCCAGTTGCTCTGCACTACTTGTAGAACCCTGTCCCGTTCGTTCTTTCATATCCTCACCGTCATTTCTATTTTGTGAAGATTGGTCTCGCTCGTTTTTTTCAATCGGTACAGCCGAGATTGATTTTTCTTGAAGCTCTACAGGCGGGCTTTCTGAATTGGATGACTTGGATTCTTCTGCAAGTAGTGTTTTTTTCGAAGTACTGTTGTCGTTTTCATTGTAGTCATCGGAAAGACGCTCAATTATAACTTCTATTTCTTCTACCTGAGAGTCACTATCTTCATCTGAATCAATTGCTACACGCCTTTCAGGAACTACAACTTCCTCTGCTTCTTTTCTTAACAATTTGGATTTTTCTTCAGGGTTGTTTACCAAGTCTTCCAATAATCTCCTATAACTTTCGCTATTTTTTGCTGGAAGGATGCTTTCAAGTGTTCGTCTAAAGCTATTGTCTTTCATTTTTTTTGCTTTACGAAGCAGTCTCAGTTCTCTTTCTTTTTCTGAAGTTCTATCAAAGTCTTTTCTTGATTCTAGATCATATTTATCACTATCTTCTTGAGGGCTAGACTTATCATCAGAAGTAGGTACCTGCAAATTATGTATTTTAATAAAAAAAACATAAGTTCTTAATGAAAAACAAAAAACAGTTTCTTGTTTAAATAGGTTAATGTGCAAAATTTATGTGAATTCTAAAACCATTCCAGATCATAGAATTTCCAATAGTGTAATAAATATTTAATACTTGAGTACAAATCAAATATAATATGATGCACAAAGCTGGTATGCCTATAACCAAACACTATTACTTAAACTATGTTTATTCCATAATTGGGCAATTGGGTTCCATAATTGCCTATTGCTGATTCGAGTCAGAACACAACTATAGTCTGATTTTTTATTAGTTAGACCTAAGTGCCAGCTCGAATCGACCTTATTTTTTATGTTGCAAGCGTGTAAGCAGTTGTAATAATGCTCAATTTGGTCGACTTTATTGATTTGCATTATCAATAGAATAGGGTTTTTTTCCAAAATAAAATTACTTATGACATCTTCCTTATAAAATTAGGACGTATTTTTCGTGCCTATTATTACATCTGCTTAATAATAATAATGATATTGCAGAATCGTAAGCAAGTTTCTGCAAATCGACGAACAAACATACAATACAATAGACAAACAGATTTAATTAAGTTCTCCGAAAAACCGTGGCATTTATTTGACTGTGTCCGTAAATGATACTAAGATGCTACAAGTGAAATAAGAATATCATTTTATTAACATATACATTGTTATAATACATTGGGACCCTGCTTCCGACAACTTGTGTTACAGAAGACAGCATTTTGTTTTCAAACAAAAAAAATATACAATAAGAGTACAGTTAATTGTCTGTCTCTGTGTGTGTGGATACACACACTTACTTCTTCTTTATACTTGCATAGTTATTAAAAATGTACCGATTAGTCGCCGACTAGTCGGTAACTCCGATTACCAGGCCCCTTTTGAAGGTATTTCTCAAAAAAATAGTCTCTGAAAATACTTACAACAAAAATTATTTTTTTATGATTTCTAAACTGTCATATGACTACGTCTTGTGACCATCCGAAATACACGATTCTTGATCTTCATTATATTTACAAAGAACAAACAAAAAACAAACAAAATTAGGATGTTTTTTTTATTATTGTAATAACATAATGTCTTCTTAAACATTAATAAATATTGCTTCTTGTTTAAAGTAAAAGATCAGGTTTGTTTAATATTAAAGCAAGATTAAACCTAAAACCTCCTTAAACCTCCTTTCTAAGGAGGCCTATGTTCAGCAGTGGACTATTAAGGGCTGTTGATGATGATGATGATGAAAGCAAAATTGCATTTACATAATGTACAATTGTGATGTAATAAGAGTAAACCTGCTGCTCTTTTTTTGGTGTAATCGAATACTTTCGTGTATCTTCCTGGCCTCGGAGAACGGTCGCGGGAACAATAAGGGTACACCACTTTGATGCTATGCGCGACATTTCAGGATAACTACTCGTATAACTTTTGCATCTCCACCACTGAAATGGGTCATTTTTTTGCTGTATCACCGGCGAAGTACAGTAGAAGTGCAGTTCATAAGTTGCCTTTGACTTGTCATCTTGAATATCTTTTTTTTTTTAATGTAAGTTATTGGAAGCATTCCCAAAAAATTCGATGTGTCGATAGTTCTGTCTCGTCTTCATCGATGGAGGTACTGTGCAGAGCAATTGTACCACTGTCGATCTCGTTATAACTCATTCTATTATCTGTTGTGTGTTATACGGCTCGAAAAATTGTTGCTTATGTCTTGGATCAAACAACAACAATAACTAAATCATTTTCCAGCAGGACCTTAACATCCACAATTTCTGTGTTATTATTTAAGTAAAGTTCTAAATATTTCTGTAAGGTTTTCAGATCAGGCATAACTTCAGACATGGAATAGCAATTTGAAATATGCTCAAAAATTATAAAATTTGAAGAAGCCGGGGCAGACGAGCAGACGGCTCATCGGATGGAAAGTGACTACCCATGAACGTCTGCAACTCAGGAGTCACAAACGCGATGCCCGCCTTTTAAGAAGGAGTACGCCCTTTTCTTGAAGGTCGTATCGGTCCGGAAATACCACATACAAGAACTTATTCTATAGATTGGTGTTGCGAGGCAAAATGTGGAGCGCCAATTATCTAATTGATGGGAATGAAAATTTTGACGTGTGGAACGATGGCGGATAGATGCGGCCGGTACGAGTTCGAACATTTCCTCGGAACACTCTCCATGATATATACGACAGAGAATGCAGAGTGAAGCTACATCTCTACGTAACGTTAAGGGATTGAGCCGATTGGAGATCCTTGGGCTATTGACAATTCCAGTTGCTCGTCCTTGGATGCGGTCCAGAGAGACAAGCTGGTACTGAAGGCTTACCGGCTTTAGCTATTCAATTATATAGACAAATTTTCGGAATTTATCGATGATTCAGAAACAGTCCGATTTAGTTCTAAAAGTCGAGAATTTCATCTGCTTGCACCACAAACGTCTTGGACAAGCTTTACTTTAAGGGAATCAGGACAGGTTTGTTTAAAAATCAGATATTGTAATACGTACTCGTAACTTAAGTTTATGTTCTTAAAATATCACTGCAATTATAAATAAATTAACCAAACTTGATTTTTAGATAATATTTTTCGAATGCTGTTTCTGCACAAAGTAAGATAGTAACTTGTAGGTTATTCTTTATAGTCGTCAAAAGTTAATTAGAACTCAAGCTCTCTGTATGCCGTATCTCGGACAAAATAATAATTAGTGATCATTATTTCCAGAGCAATAGTATAATTTCTATGAGAACAGGACAAACGCTCTTTGCAGGTCGAAATTGCACACTGCAAAGAAACGTAAACTGACTTTACCCACATATTTCTAATCAAAGTAATTGACTGATGCGATGATACAACTCACAGTCAATCTACGATGTACAGGCGGATTCCCCTATGGTAAATGACCAACGCCAACCACAAATACCTGAAGGTCAAGAGGCAGAGAAGGAGGAGGAAAAGAACTGCTTAACACCGGTTTTCTTTGAGGCCGTGGTCTAACTCCGGTCCAGCCGGCCTCATGTTTTAAATGATTTATATTATAGGTATTTTAGATTATTAGCAAATAGATATACCTGTTCACGATGCGACCCAGAACAAAAAACCGTGGTAGTCAATAAAATAAAAACAATTATTTTACACATTTTCACATAATATATGTATCAACACAAAATATATGTTTATTGGCTAAATGTTTCTTCTTTTGTGAACATAACACACTATTGGTTTCTTCACAATGAACATACGAAATTGATTACTAAAGTATGTGTTTTTACAGCCATGGGAAATTGGCGTAATTCTCACGTATTTATTTTTACTGCTGATTAAAGGTCACGGTTTTTAATCCAAACTGTAGCAGTGTAAGTCAATCCATTATTCGTCATAAACTGAATTAGACATCCATAGAAATTTAAAGCATTTCATTTATTGAGGGCATTCGTACACGTAGTGTTTAAAGATAGCAGAGAGTATCGCTTTGTTTCCTATTACTTGGATTATAAAGGTAGGACGGAACCTAATTTAAATCGTCGAAAGTAAAGTTTTTTTTAAATGGTAAGTAATTTTGTAAATAAGTGTTCGTTTCTTATCTTATCCACCATAGACACTAATCTGAACATTCACATTTCAGCTATGTGCAGGAGTCACTCATCCGTTCTCTTCGTTGGCTAACATTCAAATCCAAACCAAACTAAATCCAAACCTCCGGTTCTGCATGAACCGGAGGTTTGATGATTGATGATAATGAGCTATGATTTACAAATTGTTGTTTTTGCTTTTTTAGAGTGCTCGTATTTACATCACCTACCATCGCTGCATTAGCCCATGCTTGGTAACATTCTTGCTTTCGGCGGGATGCCGTTTTGCAGGATTTGTCGATCCAAGGCTTGGATCTGCCATCGATGGGAATTAAGGTATATGAATCGAATAGTTTTATGCCCTGAAACAATACGTCAGTGACAGAATCGGCAACGAGGTTCTGATCATCCGGCAAGAAACAATACCGCCTCCATGGGTAGGATGCAAAGAAAGATCGGCATTACATCCCAGTCGGCTGACCTATAGTGCCATACGCGGCGGCACCCTTCTTTTTTTTTTTTTTTTCCGTGCGGAAATCCCCTCGGATACCACCTGTCGGTGGCATGTCGGACTCGAACCGACTAAAACCGCCCGCCTTCGCCGGGTACTAATAGCCGGGGAACCAGGTATACCCTAGAAAGGAAGTCCCTGGTGCCCCGACATACCTCCGGTCATCTACAGACGAGTAGACGACCCCCCCCCGTGTGGGAACCCCATGTTCCCTGTGCTCCCTGGAAGCGAGCGCGCTTCGCTACGCGCTCGCCGCCACCCCGGCCTGCTTCTGCTAGGGTGACAGATGGCCTCACCTGTCACCCCCAGGCCTGCGCTTATGGAGGACGGAGGTCGTTCTGCGACCTCCGGCGCCTGAGTCGCCTGCGGTGCCTGGCCCGTGCCCGGGCCTGGCGGGCCGGGAGAGTTCTAAACCTCTCCCGGTCCCGCTCCGCCGTCTCCTTCGCGAGCAGAAGGAGACGGCAGAGTTCCACGCACTCTCGCTCCGCACGATAGCCGCAATCAGGCTATCGAGCGAGAGAACTCCCACTCCGATGGCCGCCACGAGGTCTCGCCTCTGCTCAACCCACGCCGGGCACTCTGCCAGCGTGTGGAGAGCCGTGTCCACGGTCTGGCCATCGCAGTGGTGGCACTCAGGCGTTGGCTCCTTGCGGATCAGACACAGGTGATCTCCGAAACATCCCTTCCCAGTGATCACCTGCGTCAATCGGTATGAGAGGGTCCCGTGACGCCTCTCGAGCCAATCCTCCATAACGGGTCTTACCGCCGCAATGACGGCGTGCCCGGCGCTCGGTTGCCCGAGTCGTTCCCTCCACTCCCCTATGATGACCTGGCGGAGGAGTTGGGATTTCCAGTCATCGATTTCTCGAATCTCTTGGCATCGACCCAACTCCTGCGCCTCCTTGCGCCACTGATACAGAGCCGCAAGGGCTCTCGCCTCCAGGTCCCACGGTGGAGTTCCGGCCAGGAGACTCGCCGCCTCAAAGGAGATCGTGCGGTACCCCCTTATGATCCTGATGGCCAGCATTCGCTGCGGTCGTCGCAGTATCGCGACGTTGCTGGCCTTCAGGGCCCCCGCCCATACTGGGCACCCGTAAAGGGCCATGGACCGCACAACCCCCGAGTAGAGTCTCCTGCAGGAGTCATCGGGTCCCTTCAGGTTGGGCAGCAGCCGCGCCAACGCACGCGCTGCCCCAACCAACTTGGGGACCGTGTGGTCCCCAAGTTGGTTGGGGCAGCGCGTGCGTTAAATGATATCCGCTGATAAATGATAAAGCGGAAATGATATCCGAAGTCCCCGAAGGGCTCGATGCCGATGCGTGCCTCTTACCGTGAGGCTAGATCCCTCAGGTGGCTTCCTCCGAAGCCCGTGGAAGAACAGGGCCTCGGACTTGTGCAGAGTCACCTCGAGACCCAGCCGCCGGATTGTCCAAGCGGTGTCCAAGGACACCGCCAACACTGCTTCGCCCCGGGAAATTGCTTTCTCCGCCAGAGCCTTCACGCGCATGATCGCATCCACGGTGGAGCGCCTCTGATGGAAACCGTACTGGTTGTCCGCCAGATCCGGCCCCACCATCACGAGATGCTTGACGAGGCGCTTTGCAATCACTCTTTCTTTTCCAGTTTCCCCGTCTTCCACAATTTCAGAAACTGGCCCCGCTAGAGTCATGCGCTGAAGAACCCTCACAGTCGGGGCACGAGAGCCTCGTCGAGTAAGACTAAGGGTTTTTAGCTTTAAGCCGTAACACCGCCGCCCTTAGTTCCACCTCAGTGACCTCAGGTACGTCGTCGTCATCCACGTTAGGCGCTTCAAGCGCTGGAGGCGGAGTATGCTCCACCACTCGCGTTGGGAACAGGGAGTCCACGACCCTCACAAGCAGCTCTGGCTGAAGACACCGGGTGAGCGGCGGGCCTCGCTCTTGGCCCGCTTTATCGCTGCCTGAAGGGTCCTCTTGGCAACCCTGTACCCCGCTAACTACTCCGCCTCTCTCGCTGCCGCATCTTCGGGGCGGCGACGCCTCCTCCGGAATCTGGACCACTGGCGGCGCGCGGTCACGCAGGCTTGACGCAGCCGTGCGATCTCCGGCGACCACCAGTAGACCCGGCGCCTCGCAGTATTGGGCTGAGCATCGCAGACGCGGGTCATGGCCATGGCCGGTCGACAGGCCTGTCCGGCGCAGGGGCCCAGGCCTGTACGATGTGATTCAAAATACCCTAAGAATTTCTTTTTTTACATTTCCCCTGTTACCAACTAAAATGACTAATAAAGTAATTGCATTGAAGTCTGATTTTGCTCCTCAGCCGAAAGTCTATTTTTCTACCAAATCATAGGTCAGCAGGAGTTTTATCTTCACTGTACTTGTGCCAGTATTATTAATTGTGAACACAACATCATTTATCGCTTCTCCCCTCAAATTTTCATACAGTCTTCGAGCATGGATGACTGTTCTTGCAGCCTCGACGATAGTTCTCATTTCTCTTAAAATACCTCCATTACAAGTACGTAATAGAACGAAAGGTCTACTATCGATGCACGTGTTGGTGAAGCCTCTTTAAAAAAAACAGAGGCCCACTGAGGCCGCCTACTTCTCTACTCCATCGTCCATCGTGTCCTTCCTAGAAGAACCCCAAGCAATGGACTTTGCGTAGAAGTCATCCAACACAAAAATAGAAACTGGTGCTATAAACGGCAAACGGCACTTGCCGGCACGGCACTTTGGTATCTTAAATAATAATAATATTTTCGGACATCTGATACAGTTCGATAAATTTTCATTTTAAAGATTCACAGCGGACTATTGTGCGTACGTACGTGCTTTAAAATGATACTCTTTTCAGTAATCTTTTTATTCTAAATAGAAAAAAAAAACGTAGACACATTGTTAAACCTGTCAGTGAAATATCCATTCAACAAACCTAACGGAATCGAAATTTTTGTGTAACAAAAAAATTGTGTTATTTGAAACTAAGACTACCCCTGTTTACCCTATGATTTTAAATTTGCCATGGTATGTTAACTTGTATTGTTTACTTAATGCTTAGTGGTCCGACCTGTATTTCGTCTTTGATAAGAACTTTCTCGTATTTTCCATACTTACAGCAGAAACCGAAGTGTATAACGGGGTAGGCAGGCAGGATAGAAACGAAACGAAAAGTGAGAATTCTATAATTTGATTTTTTTTTTATGAAAGAAGAGGCAAACGAGCAGACGGTTCAGATAGAAAGTGACTACCACCGCCCATGAACACCTACAGCTCAGGAGTGACAAGCGCGTACTAAGCGTTTAGAATGTCGTATTATTATGCAGAAGAAACACTGTGGGTGCACACAGCCTTTACAAATATGACACCAGCATTTACCCAATTGTCAAGGGTTGTCTCTCCACGCGTCCCTTTGTGGCGCAGAGGGCACGTGCGAGGGCTACGTCGGAGGACGACGTCTCATGGGGGCGACGGACTTGCCGTCGGAAGTTCCACATGGATCAACTGGCGGTGGTCACTGCCGAACTCCGGCAACCGATCGGCCCAACCCGTATACGCCGAGCAATCGGGAGCGGGGTCTTCTAGAACGGGGAGGAGGGTAGAGAAGGCCGCGATGAAGAAAACCTCTATAAAAAATTACCCCTTTTTTTTTACGGGGGTTAATCCTCATGCCGGACTCTTACCGGCTAAAACCACCCCGGTGTCCCCTCACACGTGCGCGCGGGGCCGCGGGAATCCAAATTCTTCCGCAGCCCCACACTAGTGCTGGCTCGGTCTGTCCGGGCCTCGTCTCCTGCACGGGGTAGTGAGGTGTTCAGATACCCCGTGCATCACCTCAGAAGCGCGCGCCAACACCCGCGGAGGACTTCCTCATGTCCCTTGAAGACTTGCCCTTCTCCTGCGCCCGGTGCGCCTTCTGCGGCCGGGGAAGGGAGTCGAGATCTCCCTCTCCCGTTCCGCAGTTTCCTTCCGCGACATCACGAGGAGACAGCGGCAACCCAGAAGACACAAGCACCGCTTCCCTCTGCGACAACGAGGCAGATGCAACCCCAGGCCCCGTCGATGGGGGAGACCTGGGCCTTGGCTCGTGGCCGAAAGAGTAAACCAAGGCCGCGAAAAAGGCGGCAGACACGGCCCAGCTGCCCAAACCTAGACAAAGGGTCGTGCCACGGTCTCCCACAGTCGGGGCTGTCACGGTCTCCTTGCCCCCTGGCTCGGAGACGACGATAGCCAGGCTGATGGAGACCGCGAAGGTCAACCTCAGCTCGGGTGATCTTGGCATCATAGATGGGCTTAGCACCAAGCGAGCTATGACTGGGACCCTGATTTTACAGGTCCCCGGTAAAGATAGCGCCGCTCTGGTGGACAAATTGGCAGCACGCCTGCGGGAAGTTTTGTCCGGCACTGACACTGTTATTGCGCGTCCGTGTAGGACAGGGGACATACGGGTGATAGACTTAGAGGAATCCATCACCTAAGCCGAGGTCGCCAGGGTTGTAGCAGCGGCGCGGGAATGTGCAGTTTCCGACGTCAAAGTCGGGATGGGGCGAAGAAATTTTGCAGGGCAACCTAAATCACTGCCGCGCAGCACAAGACCTGCTTATGCAGACGCTCGCTGAGTGGTCGGTTGCCCTAGCGGTGGTGGCGGAGCCGTACTGGAACCCGGATCACCCCCGGTGGTTTGGGTCGGATGACGGCACCGCCGTCATATACTGGGCAGGGGTAGAGAATGGCTTCCACTGCACTCTTCATCAAAGGGGGCTGGAATTTGTGGCAGTAGAGTGGGCCCCTTGGTCATTGTGGGTTGCTACATATCTCCGAATTGCGGCCTCCCTGTATTCGAGGCGTACTTGAACGCCCTTAGGAGTAGCGTTTGCACATTCCATTCTTGGGTGATTTCAACGCTCGTTCTACACAGTGGGGTGATCGCCTGGATGACGCAAGAGGAGATACACTCATTGAGAAGGCGGCGGGACTGAACCTGGGCATTCTAAACCGGGGTTCGGTTAGCACCTGCGTGCGGTGGCAGGGGGAATCAATCGTCGACCTGACGTGGGCGACTCCCTCGTTCATCAACCAGGTGTCAGGATGGAGGGTGGCGGAGGGGGTGGTCACTTTGTCGGATCACCGCCACATCGTGTTCGATGTGGCCATCCGCCGCCCGGGCCCAGGTCCGGACCACCGCAGTGACGCAGTGGTCCTTGACGATGGGCCCTCAAGCGGATGAATCGAGACATTCTCGTCGCCGCAGCTATCGTCGCGGAATAGCCATAGAAACAGGAAGATGGGGTCTCCTCCGATCCAGAAGCGCAGGCTGCCTGGTTCCGTGGCGTCATGACGGACGTCTGTGACGCGTCGATGCCACGGGTCAGGCCGCAGGGTGGGAGAGGTTCTCTGTACTGGTGGACACTGGAACTCGAGCAGTTTCGTACAGCGTGTTCTAGAGCCCGCGGCCGGTTCCAGAGAACCCAGGGACGACGGCAAGCCACAGCCGAGGACATCGCTAAAGTGAGGCGGGAGTACGGCGCTGCCGCTAAGGCTTGCGATCGCGGATGCCAAGGCTCGGTCCTGGAAGGAGCTCATAGAGGGACTGGACAGGGACCTATGGGGGCGCCTTACAAAATTTTACTGAGCAAGCTCAGAATGTGGACCCAGAGTTTGTGGGAAGAGTTGTAGATACCCTCTTCCCCAGGGGCCAGGGTAGTCCCTCAGGGCCTCCGTTACCGTCGGAACCAGTTACGTGGTCCGACGACTTAGACGTGACGGAGGATGAGCTGGACCGAGACGTGAAGCGACTCGCCGCCCGCAACACCGAACCGGGCCCTGATGGGATCCCGGGCCAAGCTTGGATGTGCGCTTTAGCGATCCTAGGGATTAGGCTGAGGCGGCTGTTTACTAGCTGCCTTCATGATAGCGTATTCCCTGAAGGCTGGTAGGAAGCCAGGCTGTTCTCCCTCAGCGTTCCGACCGATATGCTTGCTGGACGAGGTGGTGAAACTCTTTGAAAGAGTTATCGCCACCCGTATCAGCCAGCACCTGTCGCGAGTGGGCTCCGACTTATCAGACAACCAATTGGGCTTCCGACAGGGACGCTCGACGCTGGACGCGTCGAACGCGTCCGCTCCTTGTCCGAAGAGGTTGTCTGTCGGGGGAGAGTGGCGTTGGCCGTCAGTCTTGACATAGTCAACGCCTTAAACTCTCTCCCATGGTGGGCGATTAGGGAGGCACTTGTGTATCACCAGTTGCCTCCCTACTTGAGGAACATCATCGGGGTTTATCTCCGCGACAGGTCCATATCGTATATGGGTCGGGACGGCAAAGATTGCCGAAGGGAGGTTCCCCAGGGGTCAGTTTTAGGACCACTTCTGTGGAACCTATGATGACGTCTTGAGGACTAGCCTTCCCCCAAGATTGAGTGTCGTCTGCTATACGGTCCTAGAGCTCGACGAGTCAGGGATGGCTTGTATCGTCCAAAACACCCTGGCTAGTACAAAGGGCTTACCGTAACTTAGGGTTTGTATTAAGAACATGCAAACCATTTCAGTGCTCACTAAGTCTTAAAGTTGTTTACTTTGCATATGTAATAGAATATGCGTGTCCCATATGGAATCCTTGTTATAGTATATATACTAATCGTATAGAATCAATACAAAAAAAATTCATTATGCATCTTAAGTTCAAAACTCAGCAAAGCTACTCCTCTTACGTGGACAGTTGTCGCGGACATAAGATTTTGACGTTGGAAGAGCGCCGGCGAATGCTAGATGTATGTTTTCTGTACGATATTGTACGAAATCGACTTGACTGTCCTGCATTGCTAGCAAATATCTACTTTAGTGTACCTCGAACACGAACAAGACATATCAGGCTCTTAGTTGCGCCCTTACGTTCTACAAATTATGCCAAGAACTCTGTTCTCTCCAGAATTATAATAACCTATAATATCGAATTTAAAGACAGATTTATTCTCGAACAGTAAAAGTGGTTTAAGACGCTTATAACGAACACGCTAGCGGGCACTCACAAGTCTCACAACTCACAAACGGGCACTCACAAACTCACACTCACTTTAACCTAATCACAAGTGTGATTACGTTAAATGTGGATCTCGTTGGGTGGGATGTTGTTTCGCTTTTTTGGTTATTCTGAGGGCTATGTAATGCTATGTAGTATATTACACACACACAATATATACACGCACACACACACACACACATACACGCACAACATACACACACATACACGCACCACACACACACTCTGTTCAGCACACTGCTTGCCTAGAATATTATCTCACTGTTCTTTTAATTGTATTTTAATTTATTAGTTTTAATATTTTATGTTTTAGCTTCAACTTTTATTTTTTTACATTTTTGGTGTGACAAAGTCTGGGCAATTTTTATTAAAATCAAAATTGCATACGTGGTTAACATTAATTGGTTTAACCTGATTGTAGAAATTTAAATTGTAATATTTATTTTTAAGGACTGTTGTTAACCCTAATAAATAAATAAATAAATAAAGAAATAAAGAAATAAAAGATCAGCGGTTGCACCTTATAAGACGGAAGCCTGGAAGACGGATTGCTGCGGTAGGGCATGGAATGGCCTGCCTTATTGCATTAAGATGCGATCGGGCCGCCATGCCTCGATTGAGGGAGGAAGTGTTCTCCCCTGAGATAGGGCCTGATTAGGCATGGTGTCAATTCGGGGAGGACCTGAAATAACATTGTCCGGGTTCTCCCGAGAGTAGGACACCTGAGGCCGGCCGTCGGGTGGTTTTTAGTGGAATCACCACATACTCCTGGCTCCTGAGTCCCCGAGGAGCAGGAGATCCGAAGGGATTTTACACCCCGTCAACAAAAAAAGAAAAAAAAAGATATGAAGTCGGAGAATGCACTGCCGATAAATTGGTCTATGGTTTTTATAAACATTACTGAAGTCAAGGTTACATAGCACCAAGTTCAATGTCAGCGACCTGTGTGATTAACAATTTATTGATTTACTTCTGATTACACTTATCTAAGAAGTAGATAGGGAGATAAGTGTCAACATCCACTGTTTCTTACCTGACGATAAACAGTAATTTAATTAATTACTAATAAACTATTTATTTTTAATTATTTCTGTCGACAGGCAGCAGCTGCAGAAGACAGGAACTTTAAGAATTATGCTAAAACACAAGAAGAAGAAGATGCGTATGATTATGTAAAGGAAAGAGGCGGAATGATCACAACCAGGTAATGTTTTTATATTGCACTTGTCAATAATTATATGTTGGTATTGTTTATCATTGTTGTCTTATATAGAGCGTAGGATCTTTTAATAAAATCAACAGCAACAATCCTCTCCTTTCTAAGGAGAGGCCTATGTCCAGCAGTGGACTAGTATAGGCTGTTGATGAACAGCAACAATGTCAATGTTATTCTACTTATTTAAGCATTTAAGCGGCGATTTTGTCCGTAAATCACCCAACCAAGTAATCATAGGCATCTATTGACCTCTGCTAAATCCTCTTCTATCTCCTTGATAGAAGATACTATTGACTTGCACAAAAACTGTTATCATGCTCAACCTAAATATTATGAACTGGAACTCTCTCGTGGAATTTGGAAGCGGAGGTGTTCGCCGAAGTATGTTAGTAAACTGCTGCTCAATAGAAAGAGCGATTGAGTATCGGAGGTTAAAAGCCATCTGATGAACCTGATCATAGCAAGTGAAGAAGTCATTGCTTCGACAGCAGTCCTTTTGGAAGTGGAAAGCTTCTATGGCCCGTTATATGTTTCTCATGTATCTCGACCTAATCCCAAAAATGAGAAATCCAGAGCCGCATTAACACGTCACTACACCGAAGACCTGCCAGTATTCAGCACTGATTAAATCGAGATGGTTCTTAAACAGCTGAAAATGGAAAATCCCCAGGCGAACATGGCTACTCGTACTAAAGTCTTTGTAAATATTTTTTTGTACATGCATGTTTTTGTTTATAATTGGCGACGGTAAAATAGTGATTGTATTCTATTTCTATATAAAATTGTGTGGTAACACCAATAATATTTACGTATAATGTTTTTCAGTTTTGCAGGTTCTTGCGCCCATATCATCAAAGGAGCCTTGGGTGGAGGTATTCTATCCGGTCCTGTAGCTTATAAAAGGGCTGGTGTTGCTGTAGCCGTGCCTCTGAATATTATGTTTGGTATATTCATGTGCTATGGTTTATATGTAAGTCCGATATTTGTTTTCTTATATGTACATAAATATATCGTCTTACTCATTCAATGAACTTAAACTATAAAAACAAATATACTAAATAGGTTAAGAGCCAGATGAGCAGATGATTACCCAAATACATTAAATAGTACTATTAATACAAAAAAGTAGATAATTATAAGAGATACAACGGATATTCAGCCACCATGGGGCCCAAACTTACTATTCTACATGATATTGCATAGTAAGCTAGTATCCCACAATATATAGTTTAATACTTTATTATGGTTCATTGAAATGAAAAATCGTTATATTCTTATTTATTTATAAAAAAAAAACAAAAGCGTATTACAGTGACGTCAGTTTAATAAGTTTTTGATTTTTTTTTAGGATAGTCATAACTTGCATTATTACTAGGTAGGTGTCTAGTGTGTAACCTGTGGTCTTTTAACTGTGGCGTCATCAAAAATATATATAAGACAGTAATGAATATGTAGAAATGTGTCGACTGCACGGATGGCGTAGTAGGTTAAGCGGTCGCCACGCCGCTTCCTACTACACCGAGTGTTGTGGGCTTAAACCCCACATGGGACGACACTTTGTGTGATCCACAAATTGTTGTTCTGAGTCTGGGTGTTCTTTGTGTCCGTTTCATGTATGTTTGTAAAGTCCCCCGCGACACAGGATATATTCCTAATGCGGGAGCTGTCTTTAAAAAAAAAATCGTTCGAATAAAAATCGTTCGAAATAGTACATTAAATTATAGTTTAAAAAAACTAAAACGCGGAAACAGTTTTTTTAGAAAGAAAGAAAAATCATTCTATCGTGAAAAAGCTTGATCTCAATTGTTGTAAAAATATTTTATTGACAGAAATTGGTAAAAGTAAAGTTTATATTATATTATAAAATATCTCGAAAAACACTATTACTTGGGATAAAATGTTTTTTCTTTTTGTATTTATAGAAAATTAATTTCTACTTTTTAGTTCGGCTAGTTACGAAACATGTTTTTTAGGTTTTTAAAATAATTAATTACTTTTGCTTTTTTAGTCATGAATGATGATTACTTTCCCATTAAGACTAAAGACTAAGACAAATTAGACACTACCGTATTATTAGGTATGGAAAAAGTCTAATCCTGAAGTACCTGGATCACGATAATCGACAAAATTTATCTGTTTGCTGTATTGTCATCGGTTCTGGATTAGTGTGCAAAGTTTTAATTTAATTTGACGTTTGGTAGTGGGTCAAAATCACCATACCAAGCTAATTCGACCTCACGGATGGCGTAGTGGTTCCACATGTGACGATACTTTGTGTGACCCACAAATTGTTGTTCTGAGTCTGGATGTTCTTTGTGTCAGTTTCATGTATATTCTTAGAAGTCCCCTGCGACACAGGAATATAGTGCTAATTCGGAGGTTGTTTTTTTTTTATTAAAGCGGGTTAAAATAGTATAGGTTTCTTTTTATGTTTTGTATATACATTATAGAATAAATGTATTCTTTTTGTGTCAATGCTAATGTTTTTTAAATTAAACCTTCAATGTTTCAAGCTGCTAGTAAGGTGTAAGAAAATTTTGATGAGGCGGACAAGAAGAACTCATTTGTCGTATGCTGACTGTGGAGAAGCGTCTCTTATGCTGTTTCCTAAAAAGGGTCTTGCGAGATTTTCAAAAGTATTTAGGTCAGTCTTTGTTCAATATTATTCACATGATCTTACAATCTAGCTTTTTAGTCTCACTCAACACTCAAGGGGTATGTATGAAAAAATGACAACTAGATCAAAATAGAAAAGAAATCGATTTTTGAAACCTTATATGTTTCTGCACTAAGATAGTTGACAATTTTAATAGCATGAAAAAGCTATTTTGTTTAGTTGCATACTAAAATGGGTCACAATATTATAATTATAGTGACTACACGGTAGTAATTAATTTATCAAAGTTACATACATGCTATAGACTCATGCGAATATTGTCGAAGCGGTAAACAAGGAAGGTTTTAAACATTCACCATCAATTTGTTTGTCTTATTCACGTAATAAAGGAGTTAAATGTGGGACAGTTCTAAGTTTTATATAAGGTAAAGTGAAATATAATCTAAGAAGGTAAGGTCAAGGAAAGAGATTTCTCTTATTCGAATATACGGGATGTATTGAGGATTGCAAGCAACGATTCTAACCTTTGTATGACATATCCATAAATGTAAGATATCTTATTACATCCCTTTTCTTCTCTTTAAAGGAGAAGGTTCTCAATTCAGCTCATTTTTTTTGGTTTGTTGCATGAGAACTCCGTCATTTATGAACTGATTTGAAAAATTATTTTTTTGTTTGAAAGAAAAAAATATTTATTTATTATATTTTCTCTTTCTTCATTCAAATTAGAGGGTCAATTCTACCTTTAATTATGAAAATTAGAGAACGAAGAATACAATTTATTGCAATATATTACGATGTGGGCCCACTGAAGACGGTTAGTCTCCCGTTATAACATAAAGATAGGCAGAGAAAATGTCCACCTTTTAAATGGAGGTGCAGGCACGACGAAACCGAAAGAAAAAAAAACTTTTTAGAACTTTTTGTATGAAATATGCTTACGTGATGTTTGTTTTACCCAGATACGCAATAGATGCTGCGGTATGCACGGATCTATTTGGTGCATGTTGCACGTATCAGATCGTAGTTGCGAAGTCGTTAAAACAACTCATAGAAAACACTCAAACTACCAAAATCGCAGGAGCACCAGGTATTAAAGACTACCTCAATTTAGTAATTTTTTTTGCTATTACTTTGCTCTTGAATTTAGTTTGTATTGCTCAGTAAGTAAAAGGTGTGCGTATTTTTTCACATTACTTTCCATGTCCTATTATAGGAAGTCCGAAAATATTTCTCATAATATTTTACCTCATAATGATCAATCTTCATGTAAATATTTAATACTAGCAATCAAAACTTATAATCTATTTATTTATTAATTTAATTTTTATATATTTAATATTACATTTACAATAGAAAAGTGGTTGACAGCGGTTGCCGCACTAAGCTCGTGGTTTGTATCGCGGCAACCAAGTGATTGTGTAAAGGACAGCGGTTTTTTTAATGCTAAAGGGGGCAGACGAGCAGACGGGTCACATGTTACCTTACAACAGGTTTTTAACTGTACAATAATATAAACATTTACAATTAAATTAAGACCAATATAAAAGGTACGTAAGGAAGAAGGGTTTACGTAGCATTACATTTAAAACTGCTCGTTGAGCTCTTTCGAGTTGTGACATTTTAGTCAGCAGCAGCACCCTATGCCAGGGTGCAGTAGAACAGTAGCGGTTGTGTTAGTGTTCTGTAAACTATTATTATTATCTATGCTGTTGCGAAGGGGTTTTAAGATATAAATAGATTATCTAATTCTGCCGGACAAGTGGATTATAAGATTTCCGAATGTTAGACGTTCATCCAATATGACTCCTAGATATCGAATAGGGTCTGTATGTTCTATGGTGCCACAGCTCCAATTGGCTCGGTCATCAGAACTACAGGAATGAATTTTCTAAGTGTGTCCTGCCGAAAGTTTTGATGCAAGTGTCTTGTGGAACGCGATGAAATTGGTCTTTTTTTAATTAAGGGTGAGCAGATTTTCGTCTAGCCATTTTGCAATGAGAGTCATGCCAAGTTCAGCAGTTGTTATTGTACTTGACCACGATATATTGCGAAAGATTATCACGGTGACATCTGCGTAAATCATGACTTCTGCGTTTGTCATTGATGTATTTAGAATGTCATTCATATAAATCCAGAATAGTGTGGGCCCAGAATATTCTTCTAGTGAACGCCAACCTCGATAGGTCAAACGTCCACTAGCCCATAAAATAAACACATTGGCCAAAGTTTTCTTTATTTTAGATGGATTTTCCTACACTGGGGTCCACACGTACCCCACAGCATTTGTACAGGTGATCCCACGAGTTCACACGAATCGGATATCGTCGCGGTGCTTATGAATCGCAAACGATCATTGCTAAACTAAAATACTCTGACCCGTGAACTTGTGGGTTATAAACTAACTGAGATATTTAGATAACAAAATCGGTCTGCACCACCCCAGCACCCCATATAGGGTTCTAGGATTAACTTCGTTCATTAATCAAGGTTCACATAATACACTATTATAAAAAGCATTCGGTTACTGTAATATTGAATGCACCTTATTATTTTCAGGCTATCCATCTCTAAGAATATACCTGCTCATAATGTTACCGTTTTTCTGTATTATATGTTTGATAAGACATCTTAAGTATTTGGCGCCTTTTTCACATGCAGCGAACGGAGTTGTGGGTGAGTCGCATATTTACTGTTGCCCACAAATATTAAGGGTTAAAGTAGGAAAATGCCGATTTGTACTGAAATATTGCAACTCGTTTTTTTCTAAGATGTATCATATTTATTCAATCAAAATATTTACCCTCATTCACTTCAAGTCTTCAAGGCTTTAAGTCGGAGCATGCACCGTCGATAACGACCTTAATGCTTCTGTCTGCAAGGAAACTGGTGACCCAATTACATCATTTCTCGGGAAGCCCATAAGAAGGGAGCTTTGAGAGAAGCACCCTATGCCACACCCGATCGAAGGTCTTCGCTATATCCAAGCTTACCGCACAAGCCGCTCCCTTGGTCTCGATCGCACGTGCCCACCGGTGTGTTAGATAAACGAGAAGATCACCAGCTGAGTAACCTCGGTGAATACCATATTGTCGATCATTGAAAAGCTGGTGATTTTCTAAGTACCGGAGGAGCTGGCAGTTGATTACGGATTCCATTATCTGAGAGAACAAGTGGATTATGGCCTTGGGCCTGTAGTTGGACGGATCAGAGCGGTCACCTTTTTTAGGGATACCTTCCAGGGGTTCAGGATGACGCCTAGGGAGTAGGAGAGTCGAAAAAGACGCGTTAAAACCAGTGTCACGACTTCAGCACGATAGGGAAGGGAAAAGAGTGCTTTACGCACTGATTTCTGTGTGAATGGGATTTTCGGCATACAGCTCTGGCCCCCCCGGTATGGTCGGCGGTACATTTCCCCCGTTATCTTTGGCTTGCTCCTTTGCATCATAGGCCCACGAATCATCGCCCCTCCCCTGGACTGCCTTGACAAGAGACCAGAATGCACGGGTTCCAGAAGGAAGTCGCACCAGTCTCTCACCAATCTAGGTGATGTGCACCGATTTCACCCTGGCACTGCTGTCTGAAGGTAAAGTAGTATTGCTTTTTTAGCGTGCTAGTCTTTACATCGCCTATCGCCGCTGCATTAGCCCATGCTGGGTAACATTAATGCTTTCGGCAGGACGCCGTTTTCATTGCCGTCCGTATCAGAGGTCAGTGGAAGGTCCAACAGTGAAGGCTTGCATGGGCGTTGATACCAGTTGTGACAAGCCATAGGTCAGGGCGAAATTCGGAACAGATCTCTCCGTGTTATTGGTTTTGCGTGAGCCAAGCCATTCCTCTTGCTTCTGCGGATGGGATCTGCTGCAGTACAGAATCTGTAGCCATTTGGACGTGGTACATTAGTCGGTCAGATTCGGTATCACCACTATGGGACCTGTAGAGACATGCATAGACGAGGGGATGGTCGTCGCTGTCTACATGGAGCTACAAAATAGAGAGGGAGGACAGGAGCCTTTAAGATTGATGAGGCGACGAAAACTGATATCATCTCTAACGTAAACGCACACTCCAGTCCTAGCAACGAAGGACTGTTCCAGGTGATAGCCAGGGTAGGAGAGGCAGGATGTGTCCGAAGGAGATGATATCTGCGTCTTGGTTAAAAAGAGCAAGGCCGGCTTCACTGACTTTAGGTGGTGGTGGACAGGATTAAGGTTGGAGTGTAGACCCCTGATGTTGCAGAAGTCCACGTCAAGCGTGGTGAAGAGTGAACTGATGTGCCTGCTCTTGCCGCGGGTAGGTGTCTTATTAAGCGCAGTGGTGTCCTCTCCCCCCCAGAATACGCGGGGCAGTCTAAACATCCATGCCCAGATGCATGGTGTTCTGAACGTGGACGTCCAACAGGGGATTCTCCAACGATAGCGCAGCTACTACTCTACTGGGGTAGACTATTGTTCAACGACGCTACCATAAGGGAGGGTGTAGAAGGGTTGGCCTCCGGACACCTTACTCAAATGCAACATGTAATTGCTTGACTTGTAATTGCGTGAGGCCGTGGTATCGCTCCGGTCAAAACGGTCCATTTATGCCGAAGCCACCCCCACGGTAAGGTTTTGGCCTACTATACCGCGCTGGCCAGACGGGTTGGTATAGGGTTTGTTTCAAGTTTACCTTCTCTTTTCAGTATTGTTGTCCTGCGTAGTTTGTTCCCTTAGTTGGCTCTTATGACACCCACGTGAAGAATAGGGGTGGTGACACTTCGTATTTTCAATCCGTCACCACACGGACCAAACAAATACTCGTATATTCCGACTATGTAATTATGTATAACACAATCTTAAAAAAATACGTAATAAAGTTATAAAAGTTAGTAGAGTTAAAAGAAAATTAACCAGAAATTAATTTTAATCATTTTTTTTCATGTCGTAGCATCCTCTATTATGATGACAATATACTATTGTTTTCAATATAATCCACAATTTGAGGGTTTGGCACTAGCAACTAACTTTGACGGAACCTTTCAATTTCTTGGCATGTCCGTGTTTGCTATGTCTTGTTCTGGTGTTGTGGTAGCTATTGAAGGTAACATGAAAGATCCGACTAAGTTTACAAGGTGTTTATTAATTGGTATGTATTAAATATTTTTTACATTACTCTATTATTTAGTATTGTGGATGTAATTTTAGACAAAAGTTTGCAATTTTATTTACAAATTGCATTTTCGTTAAATGGTTATTGCTACATGCAGTATAGCACTTTACCAAATTAGAAGTAAGTCGGATAACCGCAATCAGGCTATCGAGCGAGAGAACTCCCACTCCGATGGTCGCCACGAGGTCTCGCCTCTGCTCAACCCACGCCGGGCACTCTGCCAGCGTGTGGAGTGTCCACGGTCTGGCCATCGCAGTGGTGGCACTCAGGCTTAATATCTGCACCTGAATCTAAGATACAATTTATTTTTGTACTACCTACTAAAATATAAATGTTCCATGACTGTTAATATAGATATAGACTCAGACAATCAGGATTAAGGGAATCAACATTGGATCTCTCCGACAAGAGACTGCTTTCACCTAATGAGGTTGATACACCTCTCCGATATGACATTACACTGTTCATCACATCAATGACTGCAATGAGGACCTGACACTGCGATGGACAAGCCGGGCAAATTGCCAGCGTATGCTGAGCCGAGTCCTCACTGCAATCGCAGTGGTGACAGGCGGGACTCAATTCCCTTCTAGCGACCGAGTGCAGGTACTTCCCCAAGCAGCCATGCCCAGAAAGAACCTGCGTCATCCGGAAGGAAAGCGTCTTGTGCTGCTCCCAATCCAATCGACGATGACCGGCTGAAGCTCCTCCACGGCGGCAATTTTGATGTCAAAGATGCAGCTCGCTCTTTGTTTAAATGTGTCTGATCTGAAATAATCGGTATATTAGTTGTTACGATGTAGCCGAGGAACTAAAGATTGACCGTAAAATAGTTTGATCTATTTGAAATAGTCTGGCTATAAAAAAAGACCATATCTGAGTGATACACGAGCTCACTAAAATAAATCTAATGAATAGTGTACTAAATTGCGATTTTGTATTAAATCATTACAAAACCGAACCATTTTTGAAATGATATCTTGTGATGAAAAATGGATCACCTATGTACAATAAGTACGAAAAAGATCATGGTCAAAGGATGGTCAAGCACCATAGAATGTAGTTAAACTCGGGTTAATACGCAATAAGGTGATCACTATGCACCAACCATCGGACATGTTAATGACGTGATATGTGTTTCGCCACTGAGAGACGTTTCGACACAGTGATCAATTTTTAAACGTTGATTTCCTTATGCGCTGATTATATACTATATTATTATACTTTTTCTAATAAATAAATTATTATTAACGAGTTCACTATATACATTATTACGTCTTTTTTTTTATTCTATGCACCCAATGCAACGATTCTTCTATTCGAATGCAACGAACATTCTTGATGATGAAAAATGGATCACCCAGAATGGGAACGAAGACGAACATGGTTAGAGGGTTTTCAAGATGGTAGCGAAACTCGGGTTAGCACGCCATAAGGTGATCACTGGTGACTAAAAAATTTAAAAATGGATCACCTAAAATAAGAATGAAAAATATCATGGCCAAAGGGTAGTCAAGCACCACAGACTGTAGTAGAACCCGGGTCAAGACTGGACTGGTAATTAAAACTGGATCTCCTAAAATAATAATGAAAAATATCAATGCCCAAAGTGAAGTCAAGCAAGTCAGACTGTAGCGAAACCTGGGTTAAGACGTAATAAGGTAATCAGAGGTGATTTAAAATGGATCACCTAAAATAGGAACGAAAAAGAACAGGTTCAGAGGGTTTTTAAGCACCACAGACAGTAGCGAAACCCGGGTTAAGACGTAATAAGGTAATCAGAGGTGATTTAAAATGGATCACCTAAAATAAGATAGAAAAAGAACATGATCAGAGAGTTTTCAAGCATCACAGACAGTAGCGAAACCCGGGTTAAGACGCAATAAGGCGATCCCTGGTGGTTAAAACTGGATCACCTAAAATAGGAACAAAAAATATCATGGTCAAAATGTAGTCAAGCACCGCAGATTGTAGCGAAACCCGGGTTAACACGGAATAAGGTGATGTTGTGTATGTGGAAAGGCATCGTTTATTATGAGCCTTTTACCGTCGCAGAAAACAGTCGATTCGGATATTTATTACCAATGACTAGCAATAAATTGAGAAAGAACGACCAAAATGGATCAACACAAAAGGAGTAATCGTTTATCATGATAACGCCAGACTACGCACATCTTTGGGCAATCACCAACAATTGAGAGAGCTTGGTTGGGAAGTGTTAATGCTTTCACAATAGTTCTGACCTTGCATCCTCAGAATTTCACCTATTTCGGTCTCTTCAAGATTGTTTAGGTATAGAACAAGAGCCCACGACGGCCAGACCTTCGTTATTTTATAAAAGCTGAAAGTTTTTCTGTGCATGTCCCCAGATATGTTTCAGATAAGAACGACCAGCGACTATATAGTTTGGGTTATGGTTAATTGGGCAGGTAATAGGTAGTACAGTATAAAATAGTACCTTAAATTCGTTAAAGTATAAAGCTCATTTTTTTAAAATATTTGCTTCGGGATGACTTCAGAAATCTTGTCATCACTTATAACTGTTGCTACCCCCTGGCCGTCGTGGGCTCTTGGGCTAGTAGGTTTTGGCTTGTTAAGGTAGGTTAACATCAAAAGGGGACCGTCTAAACTACTTGTCGCATTATTTTAATTAAAAATCCCAAGATTTCTATAGTACCGTCACCTATAAACAACGTGGCCACAAGTTGCCGTACAAAATGTCACATTTACATATATTATCTTAATCATCATCATTACCAACAGCCCACAACAGTCCACTGCAGAACATAGGCCTCCCCATAGAAAGAAGGTTTACTACACCACGCTAGCTAGCCGCTAGATACATTATAATTAAGTAAAATTAAACTTTGAATTTCTCATGATTAAACTTCTCTGGATTTTTTATATAAAATACAAAAAAACCTTTTCCTCGATCTTATATTAATTATGATTATACAGTTTAAATAATATTTTAACCTTATCTTTCAGGACACTTGTTTATCATAGTATGTACAACAGCTACATCTTTCTTTGGTTATGCCGCCTTCTTGGACAAGGCCGAAGCTCCATTTACAATCAATTTTCCAATGACGACGTAAGCATTCTTTAATTATGTATATGTTTAGTGTTTACAGGATGAATTGAAAGTAATTGTCGAATTCAACTTCTGTCGTAGAACTACAACACTAATGGCATGTAATCAAACATAGAATAATCAATGTGATATATATTATGTTAGCTGGTGCCCGCGACTTCGTTCGCGTGGAATTTGAAAAGCGCTGCCTTAGTGAGTTCGATTCCCGGATCAGGCAAAAATTTATAGGGTTTATCTGAGAGGGAAAATAGCCCAAGTTACTCCTTATATAGACAGTTACTTGGTAGTAAAATATTATCAAAATTAGTTGAGCCGTTTTGTAGATTACCTGGAACAAACAGACAGACAGACAAAAATAAAATAAACTGTTTTATAGGCATAGGCATGGTGCAAATAACCGTGTAAGCATGATAAAAAAAACTATCATTTTGACATTACAAACAGACACTTCAATTTTATTTATTTGTATAGATTACCATGGGAACATAAACAAATATATACACAGTCTTGCTCTAAAACTTTACAGGCATAATATGTTAGTAAGACCCATTTATGTACTCTTCATATCATAGAATTACCATTCTGTTATTTTTTTTTGTTTTTTTTTTTGTTTTTTTTAACGCTCTATTTTATTAGTGGTCAATTACTAGTGCCCCAACAATGTACTGATTCGAATAAAATGTATGATTGTTTTTTTATTAATTGATTGTTTTTATTGATTTGAAAAAGTTAAAATTTTACTTTACTTAAAAAATAATGCACATACGTACTAATATTTTCTAGTACTGTTACTTACTACAGTTAATATTTTGGTGTTATTTATTAAAAATAGACTTAGTTGTTACCATAGACAGAAGGGATTCAATGGTTTAGAAACATTGGATGTCTACTCATAAATACCCAGTAGACGTTCCCATCACATCTGCGTAACATAATAATCTTTTAATATCTTAGAAAACCTGAATCCTAATTATAGGAACCGGCTCCAATTCAGTGCAGTACTATTTATTTTATGTGAATAGTTGACCAAGCTTACAAACAAGAAGAACTGCCATAAATATTTATTTTGTCTTTTGTTAATGTAATAAAACCGTCACAATATTTTTTCTTCTCATGTACTGAAATCAGCGAGCTAAAATAATAGTATTTCATGTAAATGCAATAATTTCATCGATATATATGCATCAACAAGTGGCATCCATCTCACGGATTACTCTACGGAGGGAATACAAAGAGGAAAGGGCCTAAGCAATTGTGCACTGTGATTTTGACTAGGTACTGACGTCATTACAATGGTTTATCGTTATAGTAAGTACAGTGTTAGCATGCACTTGTGTTAAAAACCACAAATCTGTAAATTTTCTTGATATTAAGAAGAAAATGATGTATTAGTTCGATGATGAAGTCATATTTTATCGTGTAAAAGTTACTCGGATAGACTTTCTGATACATTCCTTATGTGAATAATTTCATACTCAATTTATTAAAAATAGTTCTAGAAATGCAGTGAAGCGATCCAAGCACTGAAGGAAAGAATATCCATATAGAAGGATGCGAGTAGTTTTACTATTGTTTAGTAGATGGAAGAAGGTGAAATGGGCGGACCCACTCACCTCGCAAATTATTACGCGTTGTTTCATAGGAAAGAACACTTCCTCTTTGTTTTTGCTCCGTGGGTTACCCATGTTAGCGCATAGACATGCGCTAACATGCAACTTGCCAGAGGTTCTTCTACAAAAGTCCGAATTGGATTGAAATTAGGATATCATGTGATCTTCTGCGAAGTAAATATATACATTTATGTTCCTATTTGCAGGCTGCCCAAAATGTTCAAAGCTGGCATTTGTATAATGCTGTATATAACTCACGGCCTCAATTTCTGGGTACCTTTCAATCTTATGTGGTATTACATAAAGAGCAAGGTAAACCAGGATAAGATAGTCTTTTGGGAAAGAATTTTTCGAGTACTTTTTGTTACTATAATTGGTATCACCGGTACCATATTCCCGAGTATAACAGCTTTAATGGGGTTGGTAAGTACATCAATTTTACTAGCGGCTAGCTGCTATCTGTCATTAGTGAACATCTAATTTCGAAACCAGCTCTTTGCAATTTTGACTTGAATTTATTTCTAAGGAAAGCATTTTACTTAGCTTTTGGCTCTAAATGCATGCTTGTAACATGAATAAAGTGTTAAGTGCAGTGTTACCATAGCCCGTATTTAAACAAATGACCCAAGTATCGGTATCTTATTATAGAACCCGTTTTCAGTTTATTCAGTTGAAATAAATCTCAGGTAAATATTTAAACTTAGTCTGTTCTCAATTACGTTTCTGTATGATCGACATTATTACTCCGTGTTACGCAGCTATTTATTTGAAAAAAATATTCATATACAAACATAATTTCTGTGAAACAACAAATTGAAGTTGAATTTAATTTAAACAAGTAATTAAATGTGAGTTTAAGTGAAATTTTATATGCATTATGAAGATGAGTATGGAATATACATATATGATAAATAATTTAATATCTTTCGTGGGTATCCAAGAAAAACTACGTAAACGTACGTAAACAAAGTAGTCCAGTCAAATAAGGTTTGAAATCAACATTTTTGGTACTCAACTTTGCGATTTTTAATATAATAGTAGTGTTTTACCTAAAATAAAACACATATTAAATTCTTACCGCTGATCGCAGGCTACGCACTGTAGCGTCTATGATTTGACCTAACTAGCGATGACTGTACGAGAGGCGACCTTAGTTTTACCTCTGAGGATAATAAACAGATTGACAAGACCGCCTAGCTGTCGTTTTTCCTTTAAAATAGTAATACAGTGCTTTATCCAAAATACTGAACCTAAGTTTTTATTTGTTGTATTATTAACTTTCAACCCGATTGTCTATAGTTAATTCCATCAATTTTAGATCCAAACAAATGCAATAAAATTCAGTCATTTGACTCAGAAAATTGTGTTCAATCGACTGCAAGTAAGGTTAGGTCATGAACTCACCTGCCTGAACAGAGGAGTAATAATGTCGGTTTATATCTAAAAACTGCAAATGCATTACTTTTACTCTATGTCATTACTTTCTAAGTATGTCACTAGTCTGTGTCTCTACGTCCCAAATTGTGGGTTTCTTAGTCACTGGCTTCTTCAGAACGATAGACTTAAGTATATGAGTGACTAAGGTGTGCGAGTTTAGTCTACCAGCATCCTTAGCGTTTCATAAAGTGCAAACTACGGACTTATGTAGCAAAATCGAATTATAGGGTAGCCCTTCTATGATGTATAGATCTGCCAAAACCGAACCACGTTCTGGCCAACCGGTTGAAAGGGGTTTACTCAATGCTTTGTGGTCCAAGTTAGCCATCTGTTCCAGGCTATTTTATACGTCTTCCTCGTGGATGGGTGACTCGTGAAACTTCGTGTGGTTCGGGTAGGAGGGTGAAAAATACTTTACGTCCTATTCTCATACTTACCAAATATACAAAAAAAGATTAAATTCAGAGGAGTCCGACCACAGATACCGTGACCTCGTGATATTTATATATTAGATTTAAAATATTATCATTCTTATTTCAAAAACTGTAATTCATGATTTCAGATTGGCTGTTTGTGTTTAGCAAATATGGCCATAATTTTTCCCAACATTATAATACTATTTGTGGAATATGAGAGACCAGGCTATGGAGCCTTCAAATGGCGAGTTTGGAGGTCTGTATTTTTCATTTCTGTCGGTATGGTTGTACTAACCAGTGGTACCTTAGTAAATCTAAAAGCACTAATTAATGTTTTGATCACTAGTGAGGAATAGAAATATCGTTATGTCTTATAAATTGTGAGAGTAAAGTCCCATTTTCACTAGGGAACATTTCGACACCAGCAATTTATACTAAGCTAACTCATAATTGTGTACTGTACAGTAGAGGCTTATTAAGGGAAAAACGTGATAACTTTTATATTAATTAACATACTAATTTTAAATTTGGTACCCTTCGAAGTTATTTGTTAATTATAATTTGTTTCGCGTGATTACCAGTAGCCCAGAACTCAAACACCTTAATACAAACTTCTTGGTTTATTTTATTAAAATATTGCAGACAACAATTGACATAACTGACTTGAATGCTTGTTGCTACTTTAGTTTTTTTTTCGTGGTACACTTATTCCTTTGTAACACAAATGTTTTCTCTTCTTCCTTGAATTTAAGATGTGTTTTGTGTTTTTAACCGACTTCAAATACACAAAAGAAGAGGTTATCAATTCGGCTATATGTTTTTTGTATACTTGTTACGCGTTATCCGTCAATTGTGGACCGATTTTCAAAATAAAAAAAAACAACATCGACAATACTGACAAAGATCACTAAACAATCAAAAAATATTTACAAATCTAAGGAAAAAAAACTATAATAAGTCCGACACTCAATAAAACAGGTAACATTATAATGGCAATAATACCTTCTAGTCTGTTTGAAGTCGGTGCCAAGGCAAATAGGTGCTTGATAGGCTTGGTAGAATGTAGCGCGGCAGCTGCTAAAGTCTTCATACTGCGCAAAACATGCTGAACGAGTTAAAGTGGGTTACGCATATCTCAAATGATATTATTGTGAAGTGTAGGTTCATCAATTGTGAAAGCCACAAATTTAGGATTAACAATTTCAGCAGGCAATGGCGACGATTCTATAACAATAGGTATAACGGATTGCCCTATGTCCCATGCTCCTGAATGGTACAGAGGACGTTTACACCTCTCCTTCTGTCTCCATATCGACCTAAAATGTAATAAAATCATTTAATTAAACATTTTTAACACATTGTACCTACATTCAAAAAATAGTTAAGGTATTATTAATGGACTAACACACGTTTTTACATAAATATTTATTAAGTAAGTCACTAAGTAGTGCATTTATTTTTACAATCGAACCAGTACACAGGAATGCATTTAACTTAACTTAGTGTAGCGTAGTATTAGACGGACCTTAACCCGACTCCTC